ACTCACTCTGCCTCTCCCATCCCATCACTCACTCTGCCTCTCCCATCCCATCACTCACTCTGCCTCTCCCTTCCCATCGCTCACGCTGCCTCTCCCTGCCCATCGCTCACTCTGCCTCTCCCTTCCCATTGCTCACTCTGCCGAACATCCCTGAGGCCATGCAGAGGCCCAGGGCCCAGGGACACCTCAGAAACTGTCCTGCCCTCCTTATGCAAGCCCATGCAATTCCACCTGGCTGTTTCAGGCAAAAACCATAGCAGTATGAAATATTCATTATAATTACAGTTAATCTGCTCAGATGGTTTAAATGCAGGTTGTTTAGGAAACTGGGTCAATAACGAAATGCTTCCATATAAACTCGGGTCTGAAGACCCGAATTTGGCTGCTCGTGGATTTTTAGATTAGGAGCTTTGCGCATAAGACTGTCACATCTTGATGAGGCGTTCGTTAAAAATAAAGACCTGCTAGAAATGAGGCAGCATGAAGCCAGCGTGTCACACTGCAAGTCACACGGCAGGAAGTCACACCGAGCTGCGGGACAGCCTGTACCAGGAACGCCGGATCTGCCATCGCCGGCACGGAGGACCTGCAGTGCGAGGGCAGGCTGCACTGTCTCTCTCTGCTAAAAGCGCCTGACTGTGTGCCGTCAGGGAACAGAAACAGCCAATCCGCCGCATCTGCTGTTTACACTGATCAGAGGACATGCTGTTTACGCTCCATTCTTCTGGCTGAGTCTAACCTAGAGGGATCCATGTACCAGCAGGCAGAGCTGGTGTCACAGCCAATGCTAATAGACATCTCCTGATTCCTGATCAGTCACAGGATTGGCTTCCTGTGGATCCACCCTGCAGTGTCTGATCGCCTTGTCAATAAATGGTCACCCTGCCTCCCAGCCAGCCCTCCCCCAAAGACAGAAAGTGGAACGAAGGTGGTCACACCCAAGAAGCAGCTGTCCACAAGTTGCACAGTTCCACACAATCTGGCGGGTGTGGCACAGCTGGTTCGGAAGGGGGAGGGTGTCAGGTTATAGGGGGTTAAGATTTGTGGGGCAGCTGGTGTCTAACAAGTAAGAATGGGAAGCGCCCTCATTGAGCAGAACCCTGCTGAGCTTCTGCATGCATCAGTCCTGCTATTTATCACAGACCTCTGCTGGTCCAGGGCCCCCTGCTCAAACCACTGATTTGTATGAGGCCCCCAGGTTTGGGTGCCCACTGATGGCCAGAACCAGTCACTACACTGGCGGAGGTGGCGGGGGCGAGGTGACTTTTTCTTGAGTGGGGCCTTTAAAATGACAAACCAGCACCTGGTTGGGCCTTTCTCTGGGGCGTGAGTCGCTGTGAAGAAGCCTCCTCGCTGCCGTGTGCGTGTGTGCGTGTGCGCGTGTGCATGTGTGCGTGTGCACAGCTGCGGCCCGGGCCCCCGCTTCACTGCATGTAGTCAGATCTTCCACCCTGAATGGTCATTTTGACTCCTGTGTGACCGTAGCCCAGCCCAAGCCATGAAGCCCATTCCAGGAAGTCTCAGTGTCTCCCTATTCTCCAGAAGAGAACGTCCTTCACAGCTGCTGCCTGACCCAAGCCAGCCCTGCCCACCCCCCATTGATTCCTTTGCTTCTCCAGATCAACCCCCCCACATTCACACTGTGTTCACGGGAGGGCGCTGTGTGCAAGTTAGCACCACAGTGCCACAGAGTGGTGAAGACGACAGGCTTCCATCACGTGGAAGTCCTGAGGGTCTGAATCTCCATAATCCCTCGCTTTTCTGACAACACCGTGTGTAAGTCTGTGAAAAGGAGTTTTGTAGGTTTTTTGTGCTATGAAAGCAGCAGTCTGGGGACATTCTGTTGGATGTGACATTCAGGTATGGAGACAGCTGTTGGACCTTTTGGTTATCCTGGCTCTGTTGGGCACCTAGTCGCACAAACAAGCAGACATGCGGGAATGTGTTCTATAAACAAATATACACCCCCCACCATGTTGATAAAATTGGAAGGACTGAACATTGTAGACATAATTAGCATGGGTGACATCAGATCTGTGTTTCTGTCCCAAAGTATCAAATACATTATTTTAAAAATGAATAACTGAATACTGGCAGACAGGACAGCAGGCAGAACAGGACTGGGGACTGGGGACTGGGCCCTAAATCAGGATTGGGGGGGCGCTGTCGGTCACGGCAGTGTTTGCCACCACTCAATCACATAATTGCTTGGGTCCCCCGAGGTCTGGCCTCCTGTTGGCCTCAAAAAGTTACTGCACCTCAGCGGACTCCAAAGGGCCCCAGAAACAAATCTGCCCCATCTATTGGCCCCCCCACAGGGCCCGCTGTGAGGCCATGGGAGTCCCGTGGTGGTTCACAGGTTACACCTCATTTTAAAATAAAATTGTTAATGCTGTTGTGTAATATGTGTCACTGACACTGCATCAGCAGACTTATGGAGCCTTGCTGGTGGGGGGCGGGGGGGGAGGAGGTCCACAGCTACCGAACAACAGAAAATTATTTCCTACTGTTTTTTCACTCTGGACAACTATCAGATTTTTAATACACAAATCAGGTGACTAATTGATTAAAATTGAATTCATTGGTTAAAAATAGAAGAGCATCATGGAAGGGAAGAAATTTTAAAGAGAGATTCCAGTTAAGCCCAGTGCTGAAGGTACTCTAAGGATGTAGGGAGAGATTCCAGTTAAGCCCAGTGCTGAAGGTACTCTAGGGATGTAGAGAGAGATTCCAGTTAAGCCCAGTGCTGAAGGTACTCTAGGGATGTAGAGAGAGATTCCAGTTAAGCCCAGTGCTGAAGGTACTCCAGGAATGGAAACCTACAACCTTACAACATTACACATCCCTAACAACTATGTTAGTTGCTACCCTAGTCGCCCAAATTCAGTAAATTTACAGCACATGGTGTGGCAGCAGCATATCAGGTGCTAAAGGAATGTGACTCGCAATGGTGATGTTTCAGCACTGTCATATCCCCATGAATCACTTTATGTTTTAGTATACCAGAAAGTATCCCACTAAAAACAGAAATTTAGGTATATTTGGTCAAGTAAATTAATAACATGAGAACATGGTTTCCTTCCTTGTGTGAATGTTGTCAAAGCAGGTCGAAGCCAGTAGTTAGCGGCTTAAGATTTTTCTGCATCAATCAAAGCCTTTGTCTTGAGAAAGATGCTTAATGTGAACCATTTGAAAAGCTGTCAGCTGAAAAAGCCATAATTACAATAATAATAATAATAATAATAATAATAATAATAATAATAGACATGACAGATATGTCTAAATTAGGGAGAAAACATAAAAACATGGAAATAGCGTTCTGGGGTGTTTCCTGCGTGTGTCCTGCAGGGCCGGTTCAGCACGCGGGAAAAATAATGTCCACTATAAAACAATCAGGTGGATCAGTGAGGTCCGGGTCAGAGACTTTGACTCTGCGTTTGAAGGGATAAACAAACTGGTCATATTTTGTATAGACTAATTTAGTAACACAATAAAGGAATTAAATGGTTTACATAGTACCGATGAGAGACAAATCAGCTCTCTAACCGACTCGATAACTAGCTACAATAGTATAAGTACTGCAACAAATGTTAAAATAGCAGACCTCAAAACCTCCACAGACAGACGATTTGTATTTGTAAGTCATTTAACCTAAAAGAAGGTTTCAGCGACGCCGTAACTGTGTTAGCCTCGTATCGTGCACGCACTCAAACACGAGGAACATGAAAATAAATATAAAAATCAAAGAATAAGGAAGGAACGAATGAAACAAAACGAAAAAAAATTGAGTTGGCAACGCGGGAGTGAAACATCCTGCTTCGGCTAAAAAGCGACAAAATAATTCACATCAAGGACACCACGGCGTATTAGGGCCTCTTAAAGATTTTTTTTTTAAGTGGCCCTAATACGCTTCCGTGGACATACAGACAGTAAGAGCGCATCTGAAAACAAGACAAGTTTCGGTTGTGAAGGACGCCAGCGCGCGTGTCTCGGCGTCGTCAAGGAAATAGCTGAGTTAGCGCTTCCGGGTTGTAGGGAACCTCCCGGGTCTGTCTCCACGTGAATCTGAAGGTAAGTTTAGTAGGATTTAAACAGAATTTGCCTTCATGTTTTCTGTATATCCGAAGTATGTGTCTTTAAGTTCAGATTTTAATGGGCTATAGATGCCCAAATTCAAGGATTGCACCGTGTAAAAACAGTGAACTGTTTAATTAAGATATTAACTCCGTTACAATTATGATAAAATGTTGGAAATCACTCTGCAAGTTCGAAGGGATAAGAATATTTATCATTGCGATGAAGCACACAACTGCATAATGTTTTATACGGATAACCACATATAGATAATTATATTTACAAACTGACACTATATGACAGCAGTATTTGATTGTGTTGTTATTAAATTGTGTGTATTGTTATTTACATTTGTTAACGTAGAATATGAAGTTATTTCAGTACACAAAACGCTGTCATGATTTTTAAAAATGGACTCAGATGAATGTTTTTGAAGAAGCCCAGCAATATTATCAGTTTCACACCATCTTTACATTATATATATTTATAAAATATTTTTTAAAGATATTCATTGTTATAATGAAACTTGAAATCCATCCATCCACCACAAGAAATGGCATAATATTGCATTAATGTGGACTTCTCATTTCCTAGATGGCTCGAGGAGATGCTGAAGACATGGTAGAGGAGAAAGTGGAAAAACTGAAGAAGAAGAAAAAGAAGGAGAGGGAGGAGGAGAGAGAGAAGGACCTTAAAGGCGGACAACAGGTTAAAATGAGAAACAGCAGCAAAAAGGAAGGGATAGAGAGAATGTTGAAGTGTGCCTCTCGTGATGCAGAGGAGGCCGCTACAGGAAACGACCTCATTGGCAAAGTAAGAGGAGATAAGGAGAGAAGGAAAGAGGCAGCCGTGTCTTTGCAGGAGGAAGAGTGTGAGGGAGGAGGAGGAGGGGTGAAGATGAGGGCTGGTGTGCTGGGTGATGGGGGTTCAGAGTCCAAGACTGCAGAAGAGGCAAAAGCAGAGAAACAGAAGAAGGTAAAGAAGGCAAAAACAGCAGGGGAGGGCCTCCCCCCCAGCACTGAGCATGGCCGGGGGGCAGGAGTGCAGGTCACCAAGAAGAGGAGTAAGAAAGTCAGAGCTGAGGCCAGTAATGAGGAGGAGAAAATGGATGAAATAAGCAATGGAGGCGCAGGGAGCCCTGAGGATAAGGAGGGAGCAGATGGGAGTGGAGTACTAATATCTGAGAAGATGAGGAAGAACAAAAAAACCAAGAAGGTGAAGGCTATGGGGGCTGCAGCAGATCTGGGCAATGGCCACATGGACACCGCTGAGGGAGAAGAGGAAAAGAGTGCAGAGAAAGCTCTGAAAAAGGAGAGGAAGAAGAAAAAGGTTCCTGTCCAGGAGAGCAGAACCGGCATGGGAGCTGGAGGAGAAGGTGAGGATGGGAATAAAGGCATCACTGGGGTGGAGGAGGCACAGGAGGGTCATGGAGAGAAGAAGCAACTGAAAAAGAAAAACGCAGGAGTCACTAGGCCGAGGGGAGGGGAGAAGGAGAAGAGGGGCAAAAGGGAAGTGATGAAGGGGGAGAAGAAGAGAGAGAAGGGGAAAGCACAGCCTGGAGAGGAGGATGTGGCCGGAAGTGTGCAGGAGGAAGAGAGGATGAAGAAGAATAAAAAGGAAAGGAAAGCACAGCCTGGAGAGGAGGATGTGGCCGGAAGTGTACAGGAGGAAGAGAGGATGAAGAAGAATAAAAAGAAAAGGAAAGCACAGCCTGGAGAGGAGGATGTGGCTGTCAGTATGTTGGAGGAAGAGGAGAAGAGGATGAAGAATAAGAAGAAAAGGAAAGCACAGGCTGGAGAGGAGGATGTTGCTGTCAGTGTTCAGGAGGAAGAGAGGATGAAGAAGAATAAAAAGAAAAGGAAAGCACAGGCTGGAGAGGAGGATGTGGCTGTCAGTGTTCAGGAGGAAGAGAGGATGAAGAAGAAAAGGAAAGCACAGGCTGGAGAGGAGGATGTGGCTGTCAGTGTTCAGGAGGAAGAGAGGATGAAGAAGAATAAAAAGAAAAGGAAAGCACAAGCTAAAGGAGGTGACACAGCTGTGGTCATAGAAGAGACAATGAAGGAACCAAATGAGAAGGAGAGAGTTCATTCTGGCAGTGGCAAGGGACAGTCTGGCAGCCAAGAAATAGCGCCATCCAAAGGAAGGAGGAAGAAGAGTGAAGGAGGACAAGAAGCGAAGATAAGTAGCGAGGCGAGTGCTGTGATGGAGGACCAGGAGGGAGGCGACTTAAACAGAAAACAAAAGAAAAAGAGGAGAAAGTCAGATGGGGACAAGGTGGAGTGTGAGGACAGCATGCGGCCAGAACAGGGGGAGGTGACCTTAACGTCGCAGAGCAGAAAAAAGCAGAGGGAAGGAGCTCCAGCAGAAGAGGTATTTTCTGTGTAGTTTTTAGTCTAATGCTGTGATAGTGTTGTGTTAGTCTGACAGCAGTATGTGTGTTGATGAAATACAAAAGTAGGTCCTTCCTTGAAATGTGAACCTGCAGCCGTTTGGTCAAACATCCGATTGTTTTAACTGCTACAGCAGACCTCGTCTGGTGTGGTTACCTTCTGGGATGTTCTCTTCAGTAACAAGGATTAATCTTTCACAGATGGATGTGGTATTTCTATCAGAAAAGATGGGCAATAAAGATGAAGTCACCATTGACCAGGTACTGAACTGCCATTGGTAGCAAAACTGGCTTTTGATTTGGGTTCTTTTAAATGTGTATTTAGTTACATACAAACATCATAAACGAATACCCTGTTCCTCAGGAACGACGACAAGCCTTGCAGAATGAAATTGATAAGGTATCCTGTCCCAGGGGCACACAGGTCCGTATCAGCTGGCTTCCATAAATACTGCCGTGTGTTTTCCAGAGTATGTTCTGATTGTCATCGCCTGATTTTGTTTTTCTGTGTGCTTATTAGATGCTTGGGCAGTGGGGTACCGCCCACTTTGAGAATGCCAGCCAGCAGCAGAAGTTCCTGAGACTCATGGGTGGGTTCAAGAAAGGCAATAAGCCAATAGGGTCTGAGGAGGGGCGGGCCAACATGGCGCTGGGGAAGCAAGGACAGCAGCGCATGCAGCAGGACCTCCTGGTGGAATTTGAGCGAGCCCAGAGCCGCCGGATGGACTTCCAGAACAAGGGGGCGGGCCTTGGCTTCTCCCCTCAGTCTGATAAAAAGTTCTTCATTGATGTCAATGCTAGTCGGTCTGTACGGTTTGATGACTGAACCCAGGACCAGACAGGACAAATGGACAGGTCTCTGTGTGACATCGTGCTTCCTATTCCGGACCACGGGGTGGAGACGTCAGCCTTGTACTGGATACCAGAGGAAGACGCCTCAAGGCACATTTCTGTATTGTTTTCTTCTATAAAGTGTTTTAAAATAAATGTATCATGAACTATGAGTGCATGTATTTTCTTCCCTTGTTCTGTATGTATACATGCTGAAGGAATGTGTTGAAACACTCCCTTCACAGAGTGAAATCAGTGATGACTGACACACCAGCTCCGATAGATACAACACAGCTCAGGTTAACGATGGGGATGATCAAAGTAAGAGCCAGAACATCACCGAACCAACGGGAAGGCCTGTGAAACTCTAAGAGATACATGTTTGGCTTTCTTTGTCATGACAGAAAATATTTATTGATGGATTTCGGAATTGTATCCATAACAAAAAGTCCAAAAGCGATTTAGAAGCATTGTTCATATCTGGCGAGAACTAATTTCTTGAGGTGTATTTCTTATGCACTCGTCGCCAGTTAGGCTGATTAAAAGGCGCTTTGCCAGGAGCGAATGAGCAGAGGATTGGCGGCTTTGATTATGACTCGGCTTCCCATGAGCGGTGAGGCTGCGGCCGGAAATGGAGGCGTTACCCGCGGGGAGCGGCGGTCATATGACGGGAGAAGATGGCTGCTGTTCACTGGTGAGTGTCTTTAACTTCCATCCCTACCTGGTTTAGCCGCCGTGGGATTTTCGGTGTCAGTATGTGTCCGGGGTGTCCGGTGGTGGTGGAGGGGGGCCGTGACACGGAGTGTGTCGCCGGGGTGGCGAATGCGCTTCTGCCGGCCGCGTCGCTCCGCAGCACCTGACGTTCTGTTATTAATCCGCATCAGCTGCTCTTACTGCGCTCCCGAATGCATTTCTCGGTGCATCAGTGTAAGTGAATGCAGGTTCATGTTTTAAGGCGCTGCTCGCCTTCCCTGTCCGCCGCAGGCACAGCCGCGTCCGGCGGTACGAAGCCGAGCTGCAGGGCTGCCGACTGGAGGCCGTGGAGGCCGGGGACTGCCACCCCTTCAAGCCCATCACGGTGAGTCGGAGCCCGGTTCCTCCCCGCGTCGCTCCGCGGGCTCAGCAGTGCGCTGGTTTCGTCAAAATGTAGCAGAAAACTGTAAGAGAAATAGGACACCTGTAGATAGTATGAATTCTATAAATAACAGGTGGAAGTAAGTTAGTAACAGTCTTAATCGTATATAAGAACATACGTTCTTGTGGGTCGTGGAAGTAAAGGGGGTGTGAACGAGTGTAAGGTTGTTTGTTAATATTTACTTCATTGTACGGAATATACCCTTATACACGGTGTGAGCCACGTTTATAAAGTACACGGTGTGAGGGCACGTTTATAAAGTACACGGTGTGAGCCGTAAGGGCACGTTTATGAATTTTAAAGTACACTTTGCCCCAACTCCGATATGGATCACAGCTGATACGGACTGGGCTGCGAACCCCTCACTGAGCCACCTGCAGGAGAGTGCGATCTCCCATCCAGACCGTCCTGAGTAGAAGCGCGACAGTCTTATGAGGGATCTGGGCTTTTAGAGGCTGTGACTCGGTATCGCGGCGAGCTATCAATTGAATCTACAAGTCAATTGAAAGGGCTTTTTGAACATATTAAGTTAAATAAAATAACATTGTGAAGTCATACTGCCACGTGTCACCCAGTGTTCGCGTTTGCGACCTGGACAACAGGTCACAAGTCAGTTTGGGCATAATTTGATATTGATGCTGTCCGTCAGGTATGCATTACTGTATGCATGCTGTATTACACGTTGGATTTGGACTGCGTCATTATACAGCTGTCAGGGTTGCCCGTTCTTCTGGACCCACTATGTCAGCCTTCAAGCTACTGCAGCTCTTGACCAGTATATTTTATTTACCATGGACCTCGAATGGGTCTCATCAGCCGTAATTCCATGTAAGACCGTATTTGACATTGTGTTAGTCATATCGGTGCATAATAATAACTAATTGTAAATGTATTTACCATTTTTTCTTTACAAACGTATTTATTTGGATGAGTGATGGTTGGGTTCTCCGCTCGCTGCCGGCCGTCGCGTCTCCGCTTAAATGGACGTCGCTCGTGGTCACGCTTTACTTTTTGTGTTACTGATGGTCTGTCGTCTCTCCTTTATGTGCCTGTGTACGGAGACCCTGGAGGTGCCGTCACATCTCCTTCGCTCCTTACTCTGCGCCCTCTCCCCCCGGCAGGTGACCGACTCAAAGACACGGAAGGGGGGCCGCAAAGGAAGTACCTCCTCGTCCTCGTCGTCCTCCAGCTCGACAGCTGCCGACCCCCTCAGCTCCATGCTGGACGGCACCGATCCCCTGTCCATGTTTGCGGCCGCTTCTGCGAGTGAGACACCGGCGCTCTCACACAGCACCTCGGCCGGGGTGAGGCGGTAACCGTGGTGACAGCCTGGGGGGGGCAAACACTGTTATTGAAAGGGGCTCTGGTGGTCAAGGTTGGTATGGCAACCATAATTGTTGTGAATTTTGGGGGGGTTTGTTTTATTCAGGAATTGGGGCGACGGCGGAGAGAAAAGGAGGAGGAGGTGGGGCCGGATTTCGAGCCTTGGTCGGCCAAGCGTGGGGAGATCCTGGGCAGGTTCACCACCACGGAGAAGCTATCAATCGTGAGTCTGCCAGAGAGGCTGAGCAGTTCTGGGGGGAGGAGGGGGGGGGCTCTGCTGGGGGAACCTGAGGTGCGTGTCAGAGGGGGGGTTTGGCGGCTGTGGGGTGACCAGGACCAGAGCTGGTGACCTGTAATGGCTGTTCGTCTTTTTCACAGAACCTCTTCATGGGCTCAGACAAAGGTAAGAACTGAGGGCCCATGATCTCGTCTTTGTCACCATGATTGTTGAGCATTAAGTCACACACACTCCCAGAGCTACTGTGAAATTCATCTTAAATCCAGATGCTTAAATCACATCAAAACTGTTGAAACACAAGTTTCAGAAAGGGAGGTTTCTGTTGAGGTCAGAGCCATCATCGCAGATGGCCTCATGCCTCTCTGGGTGCTTCCAGGCAAGGCTTCCAGCCCTGGGTCCACGGTGTCGGAGAAGGTGCGCAACCGGCTGGAGGAGCTGGACGACATGGAGGAGGTGTGTGTGCGTCTGCGTGCCTCTGTCCGTGTGTCTGTCCGCGTGCGTCTCTGGAGACCTCCGGACCATCACCCCACCTGTGCCGCACCAGGGCTCCCAGCGCGAGATGCTGAACCTGTCCCAGCAGGACTACGTGAACCGCATCGAGGAGCTGAACCAGTCCTTGAAGGAAGCATGGTCCTCTGACCAGAAGGTCAAAGCCCTCAAGATCGTCATTCAGGTGAGGATGGTTTGGAGATCCGTGGGGTTTCTGCTCCACCTGACGCTGATCTCTTACGTGTTTGTTTTGGTTTTTTTTGTACACATTAGTGCTCCAAGCTGCTGTCGGATACCTCTGTTATTCAGTTCTACCCCAGCAAGTTTGTCCTCATCACAGACATACTTGACACATTCGGTAAGTCATACTGCAGTCGGTGCCCTCTCTGTGCCGTCGGTGCCCTCTCTGTGCCCTAGCTGTGACCTTGCGTGTCTTTGCCTGCAGGACGCTTGGTTTATGAGCGGATTTTGTCCATGTGCTCCGATGCCAGCACGCCCCCAGGTGAGACCCGCTCTGCCTTTCCCCTTAAACGTGGCCCTGGGTCTCTCATCGGCTGGAAAAAGTTGTAGTAACACCATAAAAGAGAGATCCCTGGGAGAGACGTTTGATGACGACGCCATGGTGGGGATGCGGATGGTGGTGACGGTGGGGATGATCTTCTCAATCTCTGCTCTCTCCCCAATCCCCCTGGCTGCAGACACCTTCTCCCCTGATTGCGTGAATGACACAGCGAAGGAGACCTGCCTGAACTGGTTCTTCAAGATCGCCTCCATCCGCGAGCTCGTCCCCCGGCTGTATCCTTGGTTCACTTTCCTTTCTCTGTCCACTGCTATCCTCCTTGTCATGCTCATTTTACCCGTGAAAGGCCCGCCATTGTTATTCGGCATTTCATCCATGACTCTCTGCCTCAGATATGTGGAAGCAGCCATTTTGAACTGTAACTGCTTCCTGTCGAAGTCGTGAGTGTCCGTCCCTGCAGTGGTGTCTGGGTCCTCCAGCATCCCAGAATGCTCTGCCTCTCCTACCACCATCAATCCATCCATCTTCTAGCCACTTATCCAGTCCTACTACCTGATCCCTTAATTACTTAATTTAGAGAAATTGGAATCTATTTAAATTATAAGCACTAATGTTATTTGTTAGTATAAGTATTTCAAAAAACGGTTGATTGATTGATCTTGGTTGCTCCACAATGACTTAAACCTGTAACTATTCATTCGTCTTCCAGCAAAGTATCCAGTACAGTACAGGGTTGTGGCTATTAAAATGATTTAGTGCCTATGAACAGCTCCCCACGTGGGATTTGAACCAATACCCTCATGGTCAGGATTCCATGCCTTTAACTGCAGCAGAAGCAGTGATGGTATTTATAGGCTCTTGGTTTCTCATTGTCTACTAGGGGGGTTCAGGAGACTCTGCCCCGCCTCACAGCGATGATTCGGGGAATCGGGGACCCACTGGTGGCCGTTTACGCCCGGGCCTACCTCTGCAGGGTGAGTGAGCTGGTACCTCACGCATGCAAACCCGTCTTCTGTGTCACTGTCCATATAAGGTCAAACAACTGCATTGAATTAAAACACCATCATTTTAATAAGAAATATAAAGTATCTTTTAATCACTTCTCCCCCCCCTCAGGTCGGCATGGCGGTGGCCCCTCACCTGAAGGAGAGCCTCAACAAGAATTTCTTCGACCTGCTGGCCTCCTTCCGTCAGACCCACAGTGACAGCGTCCAGAACCAGCTGGTTCTGCAGCGGGTGGAGGTTCCGGTTTACCTGACGCTCTACTCCCCAGCTATTCACTGGATCCTGCAGTGTGTGTCCTACCGGGCCCCGGAGGTGACCTGGCTCCCTCGCCGTTTGGCCCCCACCCACCCACCCACCCCCCGCTGTGTGTCTGTAATGGGGGTCATGCATGCAGAGTCTCCCCCTTCTCCCCCCACCCTATTCCTGAAGACCTTGTGCAGGGTTTATCTGTGCAGCACGACCCCGGTCTGGGCTAGCAGAAGCTCTCTGTATGGACACTCATCCCTGGGGTGTTTTTTCAGGCATTACTAACCGAGATGATGGACAGGTGCAGGAAGCTGGGAAATAAGTAAGTCTGCGTCGGGGTGGGGGACGGGGGTCACAGTTTCCTAGAAGACTGGTCAGCTGGGCACTGCGGTTGGGATTGTAAGGATGGCGCTATCCCACAGTGCCCTGCTGCTGAACTCGGTGATGTGGGCGTTCCGCGCGGAGTTCGTGGCGGCTCGCGCCACCGACTTCATCGCCATGATCAAGGACTGCGACGAGGCAGGATTCCCCAAGGTCAGACGCCGTCCCCACGAAGGGCAACTCCGCACCGTCGTGTGAGCTGTACATGTTAGAAACACTCTGCAAATGCTTGGTCACAGTTAAATAGCTCAGATGGTGGGTTCAGAAGTTTGGTCTCCTAACCAAGACCTCACTCTGCCCCCCCCCATTTGACATGACTTATCTAGCTAAGCTAAAGGCAGTTCGTGTACCTCTACCCCCCATCTGTAACCTGCCCCCCCCATCACAGCACTTGCTGTTCGGCTCCCTGGGCCGGAGCCTGGCGTGCGCCGACCCCCCCGAGAACGAGAGGCTGTCCATCCTGAACGAGGCCTGGAAGGTGATCACCAAAGTGCGCAGCCCACAGGTATGCCCAGGAACACGACCGAAAGGTCTGGCGGCGCCTACACGTGTGAATGCCCTGTACCAATGTGTCCCCCCCTGCTCCCCCAGGACTACATCAGCTGTGCCGAGATCTGGGTGGAGTTCACTTGTCGCCACTTCACAGTGAGTTCTGCAGGGATCTTCTGAATGAATCTTGTGTGAACGGCCACAGGAAACCGAATGGGACCCCCGCCCCCCCCCAAAGCTGCCTAATCTGCAAGCAGGTGCCTCTGTGCCTCTGATTGCAAGGCCAGTTCAAATCCCAGAATCTGGGCCCTCAACCCCCAAATTCTCCAGGGACTGACTGATGCTGTTTTCTAAAAAAAAAAAAAAAATCCACATCGCTTTACATAAAATGATAAATATCTAAATTGGTGTCTTAACTCATTTTGACATTTTAAATCAAGGGATCGCTCTGTCTGTATAGGCAGTACATACATTCCTGATGGATTTTGCTGGGTTTTTACATTATGGAGGCTTTTGAAATCAGTGGCTGTGGTTATTTAATTAAAAGATTAAGCCTGTGATGTGTCTGTCAGAAGCGGGAGGTCAACACTGTACTGTCTGACATCATCAAACACATGACCCCCGACCGAGCCTTTGAGGACACCTACCCTCAGGTAAAGCACATGCGCACTCAGCTCACAGGTGAAAGGGAGTCACTGGGCTCTGCAGACCGTGAGGGTGACGCTCTGTGTTCTGTGTCGCAGTTACAGTCTGTGATAAACAAGATCCTCCCCCACTTCCATGACTTTTCTGTGCTCTTCTCTATGGTAAGAAACGCATTTTTACAAAGTAAATTTTTCCATTTATGCAGTTGAATGTTTGACTTTATTTAAAGGCACAGTTGTGGACTGTCAAGGGATTTGGACCAACAACATACATGGTATAAGTTTTGGTTGGCTGGTGATCAGCCTTCCTCCTTCTGCACCTCCAGGAGAGGTTCCTGCCCTTTCTGGACATGTTCCAGAAGGACAGCGTCAGGGTGGAGGTGTGTCGCTCCATCATGGAGGTCTTCATAAAGTATGTCGTCGTCCTGCTGCTGCTGCCGTGGGGGGGCTGTGATCCCGTGGGGGGGACATGAACCAGGTGCTGAACCACGTGTGTTCGCAGGCACCAGCAGGAACCCACGCGAGACCCCGTCATCCTCAACGCGTTGCTGCATGTCTGCAAGACCATGCACGACTCCGTGAAGTGAGTGCCGTCCTCCGCCCCCCCCTCCCCCGCGGTGCCGAGTCGCCGTGTGTCACCATTGCTGTGCCTCTTCTCTCCTAGTGCTCTGACCCTAGATGACGAGAAGAGGTCCATCTCACAGCTAATAAACGGCTTCATTCGCATGGTGAGCCCCCCCCCCCAACACCTTGGCTTTGCCCCCATCTGCTTCTGGTACCTTGACTCATTATGCCCCCCCCCCAGGTGTCATTTGGACGTGACTTTGAACAGCAGCTGAGCTTCTGTGTGGAGGCGCGAGCCACATTCTGTAACCTGGAGCCCGTCCTGATCCAGCTCGTCCACGTGAGCCCCCCCCCCCCTTCCACTAGCCACCATACCTAAACACTAGTGATGGACAGGGTCCGGTTTCTCGGAACCATAACGCTTCGTCGTTCGTAAGTTCCGTGTTTTAAGATACAAACGATGTAGTGTTAAGGTTTCGAGAAAACAGGCCCTGAATGACGCTTTATTACCCATTTTGCTCTATTTTCTGACCCCACTAGATGGTGCTCTTGGTTCAAAAAAAGCACTCAAAGCATGCCCCAAAGCAAACCAAGAGCACCATCTAGTGGGGTCAGATGGTATAGTCAATGGTTCATGATGCGTCGTTTTGTCTTACTAATGATCACTGTGCTCTCTTCATGCTCTATACTGAACACTTAAGGGTACGACAGCAGAGTCCCCTTATCAGTTGCCATCACTGTTATCCCCTGTAAGTGACACTAGAGGGCGTCTGTTATTTCCTATTTCCTCCAGGACCTCACTCTACCCCCCCCCCCCCAAGTTCACATCACATGACATGATTTATTCGCATACCATTATCTAGTTGTTTATCCAAAGGTTTGACACTGTTCAGTAACCCTACAGGCACAGGACAGGCTCTTGGACCACATGGTCAGCTAGACTAAAGGCAGCTTGCCTGTACCTGATCCCCTTGTCTGCACTAGGGGGCGTCTGTTGTCATATCCTACAAGGTGTAAACATGTGGGCTAAAGTTTTAGGTGGGGTTAAGAATTTACTGATCATGATTAAAGAATGAGACGCCCCCCCGCCTCCCCCGCCCCGCTTCTCCACCAGACGGTGAACCAGCTGGCCATGGAGACGAGGCGAGTGATGAAAGGCAGCCATTCCCGGAAAACTGGAGCCTTCGTTAGGGTGAGTCCAGCCATAAGGATGATCTACCATTAAAAGCAATACTTCAGTGAGCAAGATGCTTCAAAACAATGAGGAAATAAAAATATTTTAAAAGGGGGAAATAAGTTCAACCTTAATTAAACTTTATGAAAAGTTACGAAAGTAGCGAGTGATTTTGCTTCTCCTTGTCCTCCACCTTTTCTTTATTCTCAGGCATGTGCTGCCTACAGCTTCATCACCATCCCTTCCCTCACCAGCATCTTCAGCCGCCTCAACCTCTACCTACTGTCCGGCCAGGTGGCGCTGGCCAACCAGTGTCTTTCCCAAGGTGAGTTGGTGGCTACTGCTAGATGGCCAACCATTATCTTTCACAGAGTTGGTGGTTTCTGGTAGATGGCTGCATTGATAACCTTAAGGTCCTGGCAGGGCCCATTTGATAAGCTGCTGCCTCCAGGGACTTAAGCTGCTGTCTCCCTCCTAGCCGATGCCTTTTTCAAGGCGGCAGTGAGTCTGCTGCCGGAGGTGCCGCGCGTCATCGGCGTCGAGGGAAAACTGCGCTCCTCCGAGCCCTTCCTGCTCGACTTCATAAACAACTTCCTGTCCACGCTATTGGTGGTGCCGGTGAGCCTTGCCGCTTCCTGCTCCTCGGCCTGTACAGCCGTAACCCTGAGTGAAAACGGACTCCTTAACCTGCCGAGTGACATTTGTGGCTCGAACAGTAGATTAATGTCCTATTAAACCAGAACCAGCAGAAGTGTGGCGTGTGAAGTAAGCTGTGTAGTAAGAACGACGTTGAAATGTGAGAGCGCTGCTGGTGTTCCAGGACCACCCAGAGCAGGCTGTGCTCTACCTGGTGCGTGGCCTCCTCAACATGGTGCAGGACTACACCTGGGAGGAGGGCAGCGACGCCAAGGTGCGCGTCTACATCAGCGCCCTGCCGCTCTTGGCGGCCATGAGCCAGGAGACCTATCTATACTCCATCCCCAAAGGTAGCTGCCGCAGGCATTGGCTGCATCGGTCTGCCTGAACAACTCCTCGACATTCCTTATCAAGCAGTGAACTCGGCTTTGTTCTGTGGAATAAAATATTGTTTTATAGTAATATAACTTTGTCAGATAAGGTATAAGAGGCTTGTGTATTAGAGGCATGGATGTTGTGAGTTGTAAACTATGTCTGGTCTCGCAGTGGACTCCAATGAAACGCTCTATGGCAGCGACCCCAAATTTGTGGCAGAAATCAACAAGTTGTGTGAGACGCTGATTGGACAGGTGCTTGACCACCTGAAGAGCCTGGGCAGAGAGGAGGTGAGGCTCTAAGCGGTCCTTCAAGGCTTTGGCCTCTGTTTGTGGCCTTTGCAAGTTTGTGTGGCTAATAATTAATTGGCAATGTTAGCAATGTTAACGTATGCTAATGAGCATCAGCATGCAACAGAGCAAGTTTGTGTTTTCCTCAAGCATGTGCCTGTCCATTGCAGGCGGCTGGGGTGCGCAAGCAGAGCAGCCTGGCCTTCTCCCTGTTTGGCTGCCTGCTGGCCCACGGGAACCTACAAAACAATAAGCTCAACCAGCTGGCCATCAACCTGTGGAACCTGAGCCACAAACACGGCTACTGCGAAACGCGGACCTCGGTGAGCCTGCTGTGTTGCATTTGTGTCTACAGAAGTGATTAGGGATCGAGTGTCTTCTCTCACACCCTAACCCCTTGTGCTCTCATTCCCCCTGGCCAGGTGCGCACTCTGGAGCACATTAAACAGCTGGGCCAACAGCCAGGCATGGCCCACATCTCTGATATGGCTCTCCGGCTCTCCCTGCAGTCCAGGGCATGAACTGCACTGAACTTTGCAGCTTCCTCCGTCTCCACCTAGTCGGCGGCCCCTGTCCTAAAATATTGCTCATCTGGTCCCTTCCTTACCTGAAGCAGGATACACACTGCTTGCTCACCTGAGGCGTGAAAAGCCTAATGGACCAAGCCTACAAACGCAGCACACACAGCCAACCAATGAGAGGTGACAAGCGCCCAGCCAATGAGCTCACTGCTCAGAGCCTCGGTGAGCACCAGCAGCAGAAATGCATCGAAGGGCTGGTGCTATCTTAACCAATCACTGGCATTTCAGACTAACTTCAGTTCACAAAGCTGCTTCTGTCTGTGTGTTTTGCATCAGCCAGCCCTAAACATTCCCTGTTGGCTTTAGCCTGCAGTGTACAAAAAACAGACATATTGCACTGAGCAGCAGGCTTGCTGGCAGATAGGATTTCTTGTATCACTCTACGCTAAACACATTACAAATTCTCTTAAGCCAGCTCTTTGTCACCTGCAGCTTTTCGGAAGAAAATGAAGATCACCATGCTTTGATTGGAAATTAGTAATTGAATAGGTTGTTCACTGTCATTTGTCTGTACTTTGACATCAGCTACATTTTTCTTGTATAAAAAGCGAGCATTGATACAAACGCTGTGAATGTTCTGTTCGGACACCTCTGTGCTGGACGTAGGAAATGGGGGCAGCAGGCTGGAGAAACGTGCGTTTGCCTTAACGGGCACATGAAGGTCAGGCGGCTCGACCAAGCCTACAGCCGCAACAAGACTGAGCAGGAGACGTTCAAAGATCGGCGTTTATTAACTTGTTCGATCATATGAAAGAAACACTGTTGCATTCCAGGGACAAGGTCGTCTGACATAAACGTCCCAGTATGTTCAGCTTTGTGTCGCCGGGCCATTGTCTTGAGGTGTATCGGCCTGTCACATTCACACTCGCGTACGGACATTATTAATGAGACACAAAAGGAGAAGACAGCGCAGAGCCCAGCTGCCCGAGCAGGACAGCTACCAGCGTGACTGGTACGAGGTCCTGCACCACCATGACCAATTCCAATGCATTATGACTGTGCCTAAGTAAAAGCAAGAATGGGTTTTTACCGGTATGTAAGAAAATCAGTTTGCATAAATCATACCTACTGGAACGCATCTTACGTTAGGGAACCCTTGTCCTGTGGTTAACCAGCCATGTACACAAGACAGCTGCGTGGGCTGAATCTCAGAACGGCTGCAGTTTCCCAATATGACACCCTGTGTAGAATAAAAAGCAGCTTCCACAGGGTTTGCTGTACATCCGAATCAGGTGGAACACTGATCGGATCCCTAGGTGCGCAGCCAGAAAGTACGCGAGATGTACAGCACAAACTGTTCATGTGGACTTTTATTTTTCAGTGACTGGTTTCCTCAGCGCACCGTAGCTACGGGGGGGTTGGGGGGGCACACCAGCTACTCTAACGGAAAATCTCGAGACGATGGGCATCCTGCTGTCAGAAGCCACACACACACACACACACACACACAACCGACCACCAACATGCACAAGACACACGGTATCTGAAATGCGCATGTTCATAAACAGCCAGCAATGCCCCCGAGGAGCCTCACAGGGACACTGCAAACTGTACACTGCCTCACTCACTGTAACACGCAAGTACTGCTGTGGGACCACACACACACACCCCCAAGGAGCATGGAGGAGTCCGACAGACGCTTACTTTACAAAGAGCATAATTTATCCTCGTTACTTTAATGGTACAATAAGTGCACCCCCCCCCCCCCCCCACGCCATGGTCGTTCAGTGTGTGCAGAGTCTACTGCACACTGACTGAAACTGTAATGTTACGCATAAATATCGAGATCATTCCCCTGTGGAAGAGGGAAAAATACAAAAAAAAAATACACCAAGAGCAGATGTGAGCCCCCCTCTCTTAAAATTGCATAAAAAAAATGCTAACTATGAGGAAAAAACAAAGGCCCAAGAAAAAACAATAAAAAAAAGACCAAAAAACGCTGCTGCAGTCCCGGGGCACCGGGGGGGTGGTGGGTGGTTGGGTGGTTGGGGGGGGGGGGGGGAGCGGCCATTTTTTTCCTCTGGTTCTGTTTCGGTTTAGTGTGCTGGGGCGGGCAGCTGGGGTTCTGCTGCTCAGAGCCCAAGACCGGGCCAGCCTCTGCCCCCCCCCCGCCCCACTCCTCAGTCCAATTCGATAGGGCTGCCGTCTTCCTGAACCTCTTCACCCTCCTCATCCTCGCCTGATCCCATCAGGCTATTCAGCAGGTTACCTGTCAGACAGACGGGGGGGGGGGCGTTAGCAAGGCGGCGAGGCATGCTAAAGATCATGGAGTTCCAGGACCACTAAGGCTGCGTTCACATTACAAGCCTTGTTGTCCAATTCTGATGTTTTCGCTCAGTTCAGATTCGCCTATTTTTACGGTTCATATTCATAATTAGAAAGGACCAGTATCTAACTGTAATGTGAACACATCTGTCCGTTATAACAGTTTGCAAGTGAACATTGATGCATTTTTGCACAAGTCACCCTTAGTTCCAGTGAAAGGAACTCTTAGTGTTGCAGCATTCAAAGCCATTTTGGACAATTTCATGCTCCCAGTTTTGTGGGAACGGTTTGGGAATGGCCCCTCCGTGTTCCAACATACTGCGCACCAGTGCACAAAGCAAGGTCCATAAGGACATGGATGAGCGAGTCTGGTGTGGAGGAACTTGACTGGCCTGCACAGAGCCCTGACCTCAACCCAATAGAACACCTTTGGGGTGAATTAGAGCAGAAACTGCGAGCCAGACCTTCTCATCCAACATCAGTGCCTGACCTCACAAATGCTCTCCTGGAAGAATGGTCAAAAATCCCCATAAACAGACTCCTAAACCTTGTGGACAGCCTTCCCAGAAGAGCTGAAGCTGTTATAGCTGCAAAGGGTGGACCAACTCCATATTAAAGCCTGTGTATTAATAATAATGTCATTAAAGTTCATGTGTGTTTAAAGGCAGGTGTCCCGATACTTTTGGCAGTATAGTGTATCTGTCTGGTCTGTTGGATATTTATTAAAATTGAGTCACATTCAGGCAAACAATCAGGTGTGAGTCGCTGCAGCTTGGTAGTCTGAACGTAGCCAAAGTTCTACCAGAAACCGTAACAAACTGTGATTACTGGAGTGTCGACTTCAGCGCTACGCATGGGGAGCGACATCCTGCCTTACCTAGCAACCCGCCGTAGGAGGACGTTTGTTTTGGGGGCACGCCAAAGAAGAGCTGTCCTATCCTGTCAAGGTACTGCCGTGTTCCACGGGAAGCCGGGGCGGGGCGGGTGCACAAAGGGAGAGTCTGTCTCATTAAGTGGCTCCACGGTACATGGAGCGGTCAAACGGAGGACGGAGTCGGTTCAGAACTCACCTCATTATACATGGGGTCCCTCTTCAGGGAGGGTTGGTACTGCTCACATAACACAGTGAAGACCGTTAGCTTCCCCCTAAGAGTAATGAAAGACAGGAACATTCCAGCAGGGAACACGCAGGTTACCGCTAACGACCACTAGGGGGCCAGCAACGGATTCACCCAGCATCGAGTGGGACTCGGCTGGGGAGAAAATCACACAGACGTAACGAGGATCTTGGAAAGCCAGAGACGATGTGGATGACGGCAGTCTGGGCCACTGAGCGGTCCGTCCAACAGGGCCGACTTGGGCTTGATGAGCCCAGTCTTGGTTCATGATTAGCGATGCTAAGCTGCCCCCCACTGGTGAAGCACTTTAAAGACGCACAAGAGGGGAAGGCCGTCCTTAAGCAATTTTTAATCAAACCGTCAATGTCGCCTGGTTCCTCCCCATTTTTCATAGCTCCTATGTGTTTGTACTCTTTAATGAGCACCAGCCTGGTGACTGGATCCCACAGAGCAACGCTGGTCACACAGCGATTCCACACCAGCAGCCGCCTGACATCCAGGCTGCATGTAATATGGTCACATGACCTCTGCCTGCCCAGGCGGAGCTCATATACCCTGAATGTCCCCAGGATGTGTCTACTGCCTTAAGGTATGGTCACACACGTCTTTCTGTTATTAAGACAAGAATGTCGTTTAATGATAATACGTGACAATATGTGATATATTACAAGAAGTTATCGGTGCATTTAACGCTTTATACCGCTGATGTGTACTTGCCTACCGATTATGTCAATCCCTGTTTTAACACAGCTACGTAGCAGGCATCTCACGTACCTTCCCATACAGAATGTTCAAACGCAGCGTTATTCCAGGATCCAGGATCTTATCTCCCACGATAAAATTGGCTGAATGACATTACCGTGGTGCACCGTATTACCCAGTCTTGTCCGATTTCGCCCGCCTATGTGAAGACACTTGATATTTTTTGCTCTAGAGTGACCGTACCTTGACAGGAAGTGGGGCAAGATACGCCAAAGAGGACCCCATTAGACGAGGTGAAAGAGGTGGGCCTCGTGCGAGGGCAGCGGCCGACTAACGGCCGGCTGGCAGGGTGTCCTCCATCCCGCCAACGCCACCGCTCAAAAGCCTACTCCCTCCTCCACCCTGCCGCTCACGGCCCATCCTCACCCGTCCACGGCCAGCAGCAGGAACCAGAGGAAGTTGAGCAGCGGCTGGACGAAGGGGGGGCCCCTCTCTATGGACGGGTGCCTCTGTGTGTAGGTGCTAAACACCACAGATGCGCTGCTCTTGTTCTTCAGGCAAAGAAACCTGGGGACATGGGGACAGGGCCGCCAGTGACCTCGAGACCGAACTGTGGACTGGAGAAAACTACTTCGATTCCCAGTATAAAGCCAAGTACTGCTGTAGCTAAACTGGTTTGCAGAATTTCCTGCCTGTAATCAACACAGTATACAGCCGTGGAAAAAATTAAGAGGCCACTCTATATTTTTAAACAAATCAGCATTTTTAAATCCTGGTTTAATCTTGGTTTTGCTGGCAGAGGCTACGCTGAGCAGCAGGTTGCTTCCAGGTTCAAAATTTCTAAGACAGCAGGACGCAAGAGTAAGGTGACGCAGGAGACACTGGGAATGACCAGAAACCAGCCAGGTAAAGGGCGGTAGAGACTTTCTAATGGCAGAGATGACCGTTAACTTATCCGATAGTTTCTCATGAATCGGAGGATGACATCAAGTGACCTTCAAAAGGAACGGGAAACATTAAGTGCAGGTGTGAAGTGCACTGCTGGGACAGTGTGTATCAGGCTGCTAGAAGCAGGACTGAGGTCCCATAAAGCAAGAAGAAGCCCTTTATTAATGAGAAACAGGGAAGGACAAGGCTGCAGTTTGCAAAAAAGTATATATTATTCACAGCCACACACCCATAAATTGAGAAATAAAAAACTGTGCTGTGGTCTCTTAATTTTTTCCACGGCTGTAACTATGGATCCATCACCTACCTAACAATAAGAACTGAGCTAACTAAAGGGCGGGGCTTTACAAGGATCAAGCAGCCAATCAGAGCCCATGTCCTGCGGGCTGTGGGGGCGGCGGCCGGCCAGGCAGCACTCACTGTAGGACGGCCTGGGCCACGAACATGTCCACCTCGCTGCGGTAGCCACGCGACGCTGAGTACTCCACCAGCATCTGCGCACAGCCCTCGCCGTCCGACGAGTGCAGGAAGTGGTAGCGGGACTCGCTGTAGTTTTGCTCTGGCCAGGGTGTTGGATCAGAAAAGCTCAGTTGACAAGCCACGCCCCTTGCAGCATCATGTGACCCGAAGCCCATGGAAGCGGTCCTACCTTTCCACAAGGTGACAGCCAGCAGCTGGTGCAGTTTTGGGTGCCCCAGCTTGCCGGAGCCCCCCGTGGACCACTTAAGTGCACGGGATACGAAGGCCACCCTCTCTGGGGAGTTGGGGTCCATCAGGCTGAAGAGCTTGGTTAGATGCTCTGCAGCCCCATCACAGCAAACAACAGAGAGACATCACCTTCACACAGTGGTCAGAACGGCACCCTACCATCTGACAGGATACAATCCAATCCAATATGGGCACACACATCAATCTCACACCTGACAAGGTCAGCGTGGATGCAGCAGGAATCACACGCTCCAATACAAACACGCACCCACCAGGGAAACTCACCGAATATCTCATCTGATACTTTTGTTTCTGACTTTTCCAGAGATTCCAGCACAAGCATGGACAGGTCAGCGGCGCTGTTTTGCTGTGAGGGACACACACATCTCACTGTCCCGCCACCCCAACCGGATGTGCACTGATTAGGATTTACCATCATGCCTGACACAAACAGGTGCAAAGATGCGAAGACACTGCATATCTGAGTAAAGCGGCTTGGGGGGGGGGGGGGGGGGGGCTACAGAGGACACAGTCACCGCCCCCCAGAATCTGCCTCATACCTGGTTGTAGCTGAAGAATAGCAGTGCCCCATTATACATCAGCTCCCTGGCCTCCGCATGCTTGGCCTGTGACATGTACCTGCAAGAAGAAGGGGCAGGTGCTTCAACCCGAAGCTAGAGTGTCTCAGCAGTGGATCCCTCCCAGTCCCCCTGCCCCCCAACCACACTCAGGAGAGCAGCTTAACATGTTAAATCCGCCTCCATGGGCGGCTTATTAATACGCGGCCCCAAGCTACTGTGTCAGAGCCCAGTGTCTGACAGCCTTCAGACAGCCTTCAGAGCCCAGTGTCTGACAGCCTTCAGAGCCCAGTGTCTGACAGCCTTCAGAGCTCAGTGTCTGACAGCCTTCAGAGCCCAGTGTCTGACAGCCTTCAGAGCCGGCAACATCAATCGCTGGGCTGTTAGCCAGGAACTCTGCTGTTAACTGGCACAAGCATGCAAAGCTGGTAACATGGACACACAAGAGTGACGGGAGTTTACTATCCATCCATCCATTTTCTGTAACTGCTTGTCCTGAGCAAGTTTGCGGGGGTCCAGAGCCTGTCGCAGGGGCTATGAGAGCAAGACAGGGAACAACCCAGGATGGGGCGCCAACCCATCAGAGAGTACACTCACACAGTCACACACCATTCACACACACATTCACCTACAAGCAATTTGGTAACTCCAATTTATCTTAGCAGGGTTTTGAAATGTGGGGCGAAACCGGAGTTCCCAGAGGAAACCCCATGACAACACGGGGAGAACATGCAAACTCCACACACACAGAAGAGGGCATGACGCCACAGTGCCCACCGTACTGCCCGCATTTGTACTAATGGGCCATTTTTCTAATATTATCTTGGGACAGTTCACACACAGGAGGCTCTGTTATAGTGATGTGAGGTGAATGCTGAGAGTGACGGCAGCCACAGTGCAAAGGAGCAGTCGTTTGGCCCAGAGCTACTATGAAGCATCCACCTGGCATGTCTTCCAAGATGCCCCCAAAGAAACACATGCCCCCTCGTGGGCAGGGAGGCAAATACAGACAAATCACTGGAACAGTGGCATGGAAAATCAGGCTGTGAAAAAGCAAAAATGTATCTGAGAACAATTTAATGGTCAGTACCGTTAAAGGAAACAGTTCATCCATTGCCAATCATAAAAAGCACAGAGCCAAAACACAAATTCATCAGCGATCGTCAATAGGTCTCCTTAATAATTTAACCTTACGAGACTCTTAAATTCACACGGTAGTATTAGGATCGAGGGAACATAAGCACTTGAAATAAACTCTGCAATGCTGGTTTCACCTAAAAGAGGGGAACATATTTAAACTAAAGTTTTAGGTGACATGTAACAGATCTGCATGGCTTGTGTTAATGTCCACTGGGAGACATCCTATCTACAAACCTCACCAAGCTGCCGGCCTTCAGCGAACCTGACAGCCCACAGATACTGCAGGGTTTTGCAGCACACTGCTGACAGAAAGAAATGCATCGCACATGGTCTCCCGTTACTCTTTGAAATTAATATGAAATCACGTACTTTATCGTCTGCTCTGGGCAGGTATCAGATTTAGATCATCGCCGAGCTATTCAATGCGTCCTGGGCGTATTTGGTGTAGCCAGATAGCAAACAAATAACTTGCTAGGAAAGTGAGATTGCTGGCTATCTTTGATTTGGAAATATTTGAATCTTATTTTAGCAACCAGATACAAATTCCTTCATCTTAACATGATCGCTACGTCCGCTGTCATCGTTTCATTAGCCCTCTGATTTTTAAGAATTAGCAGCGCCACTAACCATAACAGGATTCCCTTTAGTATACAACGACATGTTACGCAGAATTTGGGCTGTAAATAACATATGCTTAGTTTTACAGAATAATTACAACGGTATACGGACTACACAGTCGCTGCTTGGCAGTGGTAAATGTTGCTAGCTAGCCTGCTAATTCTGATAGCTTCACAGTAGCCCGGAGACGCTTCCGTGATTGACATGGACCCCGTCCAATCACGAAGAAGGACTGACCCCGAAAAAGGAGACTGTCTGCGCGCTTGGCCAATCGTAGGCGCCGAAGCACCTAAACAGGGCCGTTTGGTTGACAGACAGAATGATCTGGAAGCGCAGGCCCCGAAGACACTAGAACATGATACTTTTCAGCTAGTCCATCGATAATGCACACCTTCAACACTCACCTAAAGAACAAGGTGCGATACATTTGATGGGCTTCATAGTAATCACCCTTTTCCACACTGGCTCGCAGTTTGCCCTCCACCCGCTGCACGCCTCCACGGTTCCTCGCGCTGGAGTTCTTCAAAGCCTCCTGCTCCGACATCATTGTTTGTGCAGCCCAACCAAAACCTCACCGGGGGAACGCGAAGCAAAAAAAGAAAACGACAAACGGGACTGATTCCTCTGGCTTTCCGTAGTTTTTCTTACGTCACTCATATTAACTAGAAATTGATGAGCAGTACAGAAGAGAAGTCTCATCCGTCTTTGGCCTTGTCGGTTTTTTCTGCTTGTATTACAGTACAGTCCAAGATCAAAAACCGTTACTGGTCAGAGGTCGATAGTCATACGTAAATTATTTATGGCGAATTGTATTTAACTATTGCAGTAAATTATGTAAAACTTGAATTTTGCATCTGCTGTCTGCATATTTTTCAAGTATTTTCTATATTCCAGGCCATCTTGGGTTTTATGGCAAAATCCCAGAAGAGGAAAATTTAGATCAGAAACACGCAGAACATTAGTAGGCGTTCGTAAATTTTAGTTTAGCAGACTGGTCTTGCATGTCTAGTATAGTGTTTACATTAGAAGTGTAACTTTCCATGACCAAGATCTGTATCGTATATTTTTTCCTGGGTCATCAGAATTAGTGAGGTAAAAACAGCTTTTGTGCGTAACAACTCCCAGTGGGGAGCAGCAACAAGTTAAAATGTCCGACTGACAGTTAGTGTAAATTTATGTAGATGAAGATGCATCTCTAACAGAATCAAAGTTAAAGCATTGTATGCACGGTAAATCTAAATTTCAATGAAAATCTCGTTTTTTTTACACAAAAAAAGATTAGAATATAAATAGGAAAGACATTTAAACATTTACGATCTGACAATTTAAACGACAGACATGGTCGAATGCAATCAAAAATAGTCATATGGTTGTCCAAATGGGCACGAGTTGTATAGACAAGAATGTGCAATAGTAGATTTTGGTTGCAGTGTTTTGAACAAGCAGTAATGGATTTTTGTAAGATATGATTCCAATGCAGAGGGAGGAAAAGTCATTTCAGGAAATCCAGTCTTAGATTGTTAAGCAGTCAAACTGCCCCCGGGGGATGGGGGGGGGGTGGTTGTTTTTAAGCTTCACTGTCCTGACTTTTAGAACCCCAGAACAGGGCACATAAACACTAATCATACACTATGGGCGCCCTCCACACACCATGCAGGCCACGTGAATCTAAACTGCAGAGGGAAGCCAGAGACGAGAAAGAAAAATGCAAAAAGTTCAGTTTTATTTGTGTCCGTTAAACAAGGAGATGCACAATAAAAGTATGTTTTCAAAGTTAAATTAGATGACACAATTTACTTTTTATAAATGTCTATCAAGCCCACATTTTTGTAGAAAGAACTCATAAAATAAACAGTTCAGGCTGAATATGATTCTATAAAACACATATAATACAACTCAAGACCCAGTTCAGAAAACCTCTAACATTCTTACTTTAAACGGTGACAACTGCAATGACATGGCAGTGAATCTTAAAGCAGCACCGATGTTAATGAATGGAACTATTAATGCACCAACTCCCACAGCAAGGCAAGTGTGAAGGAGCCAGATCTCAAGACACACGGTGTCCAGCAGAGGTGCTGAACCAACAGGCCAACATGCAGACAGGGCCACACACATCGGGGTTAGAGGCTTTACACTCCACAGTGCTTGGCAGGTGGTGTTGAGGTATGAGGTACGGATACTGGTATTGAGGGAAGCTGACTGGCTGCAAAACTGTCGCCATTGTGAGTTGGGGGAGAACTGTGGGGGGGGGGGGTGTCCAGTCCATACAGAACTTTTAACACACAGCTGCTGTGTGCTTTGGATTTAGCACTTCCATGTCCAAGATATGATAGAAAAGCTCCAGCAAGAAGCAGCTAGAGTCAGAAAAGGAACAAGGCACTGCTTCCACGGCCAGTCCTGTACAATGCAAGCCAGGGCAGAGGCCAGGCAAGAATAGCCTTTAGCAGACATAAGGGCTAATTCCCACTTTCAATATACAGCGAGTCAAGTGTCAAATCCAGGACTGGGGTACAGTGCAGTGACGGCATGTGTCTGTTAATGCAGCTGCCCTCCAGTTTGAACTCCTTTCCCTCGTTACATGTTAAAGCAGCTTCCAGTGCTGACAGACAGGGCAGTGTGGGCCTTCCTGCGCCTCCTCACTGGGCGCTGGGCTCCCCGTGCACCCTGAAGCGGTACAGGCAGGTGTAATCTGGGTGACCCCAGTTGGAGAGCACCTGCAGCTCGATGATCTGGAAGGCCTGCTCGATCTGCTCCTGAAAAACACACAAGCATAAGCAGACGTAGGCTACAGCTGTTCCAAGAGCCAAATTTGTCCCAAAACATCAACCTAAAGCAACAGAATCACCAGGAGCTAAATGACTGCCAGCATCAAGAATGAGTGGCAGGCTTCCAGAGAGATCTCCAGGTCAGGCAGCCTCCGTCATGTGGCAAGCTTACCGATGTGAGGAAGGTCTGCAGTGACTCGCCGTCCTCCTCGTAGGTGTACTTCCCCAAGAGGATTCCCTCATCCTGAAGCTCATTCTCAAGGCCCTGCGAGACGCTGCAGTTAGAGCAATGCCGTCACTCACAGCAGGACGGTGCCGTAATTGCGGACTCTGGCAGTACACTCACATAGACCTCAAAATGGCGGGGGGCGCTGCTGAGGTTTCCAAGCGGGGACAGGGCCTTGGCGAGGTGCTCCAGGGAGAAGGCCGTGGGGATGATCTTCCGAGACAGGCGGATCACCAAGAAGCCCTTGGAGCCCTTGAAGGGCCAGCAGTTCCCCGGGTGGACATCAGGCTGGTTTGGGGAGACGCAGAGGGGGAACGTCAGACGCCCTGCCTGCATGGCTGAGGCCTGGCGTGGACTGGAGGGCCTCACCTGTATGACGACGCGGGGCGACTGGGTGAAGTACCACAGCGGCAGTCCGAACAGGCTCATGAGGGCAGACCTGGTCTCGTAGGTCTCTGAGCAGCGGGTGCCCAGAATGCTGCCACCTGCGCAATGTGACACGAGAGATGAAGACCCGCTAATGAGGCAGGACTCTGCCCGGACAAACACGGGCCAGACCGGAGCGGCCACCCACCTCCGGATTCCAGGGCGTAGTCCACCAAGCCCGTCTGGTCCTGAGAGTAAAGTCTCAGCGCGTTCTGTACAATCTGCTGCACTTCCTGGTATGAAACGTGGACAGAAAGACAGCACGGGGGGGGGGGGTAATGCATAGGGTCCTCCTTCCACGTTTTGTTAGACCTGCCTCGTAAAACTGGGCACTCGGAGGGAGTCAGAGACAATGGGGGTGTCATCTGGCACCACTCAGCTGAACAAGAAGCGACAGATCTATGGTTTGGAGGGGAAGCTGGTCACTTTCACACTTGCCACTAGGGGCAGCAGACATCCTACCCAGACTCAGACTCACCATGCAGAGTCTCACACCATACCTAGCACATTTCTCTGCTGGGGAGACTTAAGAGTACAAGGGGAATGCCCCCCCCCCCCTCCCCCACCTGTAGGCAAAGTTTATCGGATGCAGTGGACCTTGGCTTTGCGCGATAAAATCTGGCCCTCTGAGAAACAGTTGGGAATCACTGCTCCACATTGTATCAAATGAACTAGTTTGCTGTATAATCTTCAATTTGATGCAAGTACTTCCCTCTAAAGTCCTTTACAGTGCTATATGCCAGAAGAACCCTCAGTCTGGGGATGTGACCATAAGAACTGAAAGTCAGCAAGACGTTCACCTCCTTGGACACGCCGGCGGTCCCCTGCCCGCCGGCCACGGCGCAGGACGCCGTCTGCACACAGGGCGGCCGCTCGCTCTGCTCCACCCACAGGCTGACGTTCTTCAGGATGCTGTGCTCCAGGGCGGACAGCGCCCCCCGCAGGTCAGAGCCCCTTGTGAAATGCGCAGAGAGCCACGGCAAGAGGGGCACAGGCACGTCAGCCCGAGCTGCCCCCTCAGAGCCATAGAAGAGCATTCGCAGCTCCTGCTTTACCTGCGCAGACACCTACGGGGGCAGCCAGACGGGAAGAGCGGGAGTCACACGCAGCAGATCTCAGAGGCGGTTAGAGGGAGGGCCACTAATCTACACTGCAGTGCTTTACTGGTGTTCTGAACTGACTGAGTTCACACCGTTTCAAACTAGCGAGCAAACAGGAGTGTCCCCACAGCACTCAGCTGCACGGGGAGTGGCAATGTCACACGCTCTGTCACGCAGGCTGTGCTGTGTGGCCTGCAGCAGCTCTCACACAGTGCATTATTGTCCCCCACTTGGTGGTTTGGGCCTGTGACGTTTTCCCTCAGTTTTAATCAACACAACACATGACGCTACTGTGTGCAAAGAACATATATAAAAAGGGAAACAATTCTATACATTAATCCAGTCTGCTGAGATTAAGCAGCTGTTACGCAGTTAAACCTACAGGGAGAATGCAGCTGTGGTAGAATAAGGGATAGTGGAGGTCACTCACACACACACACACACACACACACACACACTTACCCCGTTTTGCAGAGTCTCCAGCTGCTCACACCTTTCTTGGGCTTCCAGCGCCCCCTGCAGGTCCTGCCGGAGGCGGCCCAGCTCCACCTCCAGCCTCTGCACCTTCTCCAGGAGGCTGTGGTGGGCCTCGCTGTCTGTGCTGACAGGTGCGCTACATGGGGACAAACTTCTGTGAGCAACCACTAAGTGGCGCTGTTTCTGAAGGCACTGGATGTTCTCTCCGTGTGCAGCTTACCTTACAGGAGGAGGGGTCACAGACACCTGTCTTTGTAATACGTCCTTTAAAACACAATAAGGGATTTTTTTTAACGGTGGCAATATTCTACAACTTTTTCCATAATTTCTAATATGTTAAAAATCAGTTTGCCAACCTCTGTCTTGGCTTCAAGGTTTCGCAGCAGCGCCTCCAGATGAGTCAGGCGAGATGCAGTATTGCGCTGCTGCAATGTAGGCCTCTCCTAGGATGCATGAGAGTCAAAAATAGCACTTCACCTTTGACACCCTGCCTCACCCACAGTTTGCAATAACATTCATCACATCTCTAACCCAAACAAACAGTTTTAAACAGATTTCAAAAGGTACAACAGCGAGTTCAAATGCTTTAGCCAGTGTGCTGTGTCCACGAATACTAAAATCACCATGTCACCCCATTCTTTAGGAGTGTAGCAAAGCACCATGGCGTATCACCGTGGTGACAATTCGTGAAACAAAAATAACGATACGTGACTATACATGAAAATCATTTGTTAACACAAGAGGGAGCAATAGGCAAAATCTCAGCTTTGCTTTGAGATTTTATGTTTTGAATGTTTGCGAGTGTAACGAACGGCAAGCCCTCAATGGTCCACTGAAGAGAATGACCAGCAGACCATCGGGACGCCTCTACTATTCCTCCTTAGTTACAAGAGAAACTTTACGTGGGGTAAAACCGATCGACCATGTTCTACCTGCAGAACTGGAAAAGGTAGCAGTTTACAGATTCTCATATTAGTACAGCTTCCATACAGACATGCCATTATAAGTACAAATTTTAAGCTGAGTTTTCCAAGTGGGAAGCCCAGGTTTGATGAGGAAAAGGCAAACATGTACAGTGAGTAAGAGAAACAGGGGCAACAGTGTCTGCAGTTATTTAGCAGCAGACTCTGCTAGCGGTACGATTCCTGTATCCTAATAAGCTTAAGAGTTTATAATGCTTATATTTAGTCTGAAATGCATTGTGTTAAACTGCACGGCAAAACAGGAATGTGCTGGTCACACACTTAGCCGCCCAGCATCGATCCCGCGCTCAAGGACAGGTTTGTAGTTTCTGGGTCCCAGTCAAAGAATCACTTTGTGTCTCCCCACTGCCCAACCAAATGTTTCAATAACCAAGAAACTAGCAAGTGGGAATCTCAGGAGATCATACTGTAGCCAGCTGGGCAGCAAAACCTGCTGCTTCAGCATCTCGTAAATAAGCAAGGAGTTTATTCAGTGTGATGACACCTTATAGCCAACAGGGGGCTCCATGGGCCCCATGCAAACGTGAGGTTTGAGTGACGGTAAAGACGGCCAATGCCTGTGCTGACCGTCCGCAGCTGCTCTCCCAGCTCCCTGCTCGACAGCTCCTCCCTCAGAGATCCCAGCTTCTGCTCCAGCAGCTCAGAGACCCAGGACCCTAGGGCAGCCGGGTCCGTGCGCCGCTCCAGCTGCTCCAGCAGGGTGCGCTGACGGTCTAGGTCCTGGCCCTGAGTCTGAAGTCGCTCCTGCCGCCGCCTGCTTTGCCATCCGCCACGCCGCACACTCTCCCACAGCTGGCTGATGTGGTTCTCCAGCAGGCCGAGGCGTCCCGCATCCGCCCGCCCGTCCTGTAGGGGGCAGTGGCAAGGACTGCTCTCACTCAGTGGTTAACATTCCACAGTACAGGTTCTCTGAGCCTACAAAACTCAAACTACAATCAGTTCAATGAAATTACACACCATAAAACATAAGTGGACTTCAACAATAACATTCCAGATTTTATTTGTCACATTTGTAGTTATACTGGCACAGTGAAATGTGAATCTGGCTTGCTGCTGGTGTGGCGCAAAAGAAACCAGTAAATTAAAACTATTTAAACTTAAAAGGAAAGGTGAGGGCAATGGGCTAAAACAATGGCTAAATAATGGTTCGAGTCCTCGACCAGCAAGATACTGCCATTTCATTACTGTGCACTGTGTGTTGTGACATGTCAACAATGAATTATTCATTTTCACTTCAAAGATAGAAGATAGGTCTGTTTTAAAAGACTATTCAGAAGGCTGTGCAGATGGGGATTTCTCCACATGCTACCTTATCGACACTGAGTAGGATGGGGGGGGGTGGGGGTGAGGCACTTACGGCTGTGTGGCCCCCTCCCACGCTGACCTTCTCCTCCTGTCTGGGGGCCTCCAGCACCAGCAGGCTGTAACTATCCCGCTGCCATAACCCTGGGAACAGCAAGCTTTTCATGCACAGAATTCCAGAGGCCAGAGGACCCGTCCTGGTTTAACATTAGCAGGTTCTGAGAACAAAGGGTCAGGCTGAGTCCGGCCCCAATTCCATGTTTCAGGTGAAAAGGTAGCTGAGTTTTTCTGGGAAAAGACGATACGATGTATAAAAAGTGACTCTTGATGGAAGTAGCAGACATTTACCGCCATAGATATTGGCACCTGTCCACCATGTTCCTATGTACAGTCATTATACTTGGTGTGTGTTCAATGACACCTACAGACATCTGCAGGCATACCCTCCCCATTCAGGAAAGCTGAAGTGTGATGTCATGGCAGTCACACTAATAATGGTAAGTGCATACTGCTCTGAGATCAGAGAGGTTTCTTGAGTAGTCAGTCTGGGTGCCAACGCACTTACACGCACTCCCCGCAAACAAACTTACCCAGGATCAGTAACAAAGGCAGCAGCAGCAGCATGAGTCTGTACAGCTTTGGCAGGCACCTGAAACCCAAGCAGTTTCACTGGAAAAAGTCTATTTGCCATTTTCCATTGTGGGCAGACATTGGGAATATATACACTGAGCATCAAAAGAAACTTTAGCTTGTGATGCTCTGCAAGCAGTTTAAAAATGATAAAAGGGAAAGTATCGCAAGTACTGGACAAAAAGAACAGTACCTAGTGCAGTGGAAACGTGTCCTTAATCGCATATCGGTCTCCAGAAACTCCATTCGGAACCATTCGGATCTCAAATAAACCATGACCAGGTGATTGACTCTTAAGTACATTACTCATCTTAAATTACTATAGGATAACACACACGTAGAAATTGGAAAACTACCCCAATGAAAACTGTGGTAAATTTCTTTTGATGTTCAGTATACAAAACCCTTATCCTTAAATCTAGGAATATTAAACACATAAACAGAGCAGAAATGACTAATTAGATATAGATTATCAACTAAATTACAAAGCAAAACCAAAGACTGATTAGCTGTTAGCAGCCTGAGGTCTCACCATGTCAGGATAAAGACGTCGAGCAGAGACATGAGGGCGATGAGCTGGTACCAGCCAACCCCCAGCCACCGCAGCAGACCCGAAGCTGCGCTCCCTGCACACACACAGAACAAGAGCCGTGGTTTAAGAACGTCACGTTTCAGCCTGTGCGCGTATGCGGGGCCAAGACAGGGGGGCACATACTACTCCACTGAATTACAGGCTGGCACCTAAGCAAGCAGACTGGGCTTCTGATCCTGAAGAACTGTGGAACACTAGAGGAAACACGGCTGTATATAAATTTGACTGTGTTCCACTGTACCCCCACGAGATAGTGAGGCTAGGGGAAAGAAATTCAACATACAGAAGAGCTTCTACTGGCATGTCCACACCCTCTGCAGAAAGATATTTACACAAGCTGAAGCAGGATTAGCAGTGCAGGGAGAGCAGGCGGAGGCCCTAAGCGGGATCATAGCAGAATGAGAGCATGCGACACAAAAGACACAAACGGAGTTCAGCGATTCAGCCTCTACGGGCAGGGAAGAGAGAAGCCGTTACCGGTGCCAGCAACATGGCCAACACCCCCATGCTCAGTTTGGGATGGGGGCTTCAACGCAGGGTGAAAGCAAAAGATAATGACCTGGAGACCGTACTGTAAACCACAGGACCGAGAGCACCAACCGGGTCAAAATGTAGGCTGCCCAGGTCGCCGTCCACAGCACGCAGAGCAGAACGTAGCCTGGAGAGCACGTTCCCCGCACAGCAGCAATATTAAACGGCACAAAAGAAAAAAAAAAAAAAGCCCTGAAGAGTTTGGCAAAGCTCTGTTGATGAAACAAATTTCACCCCAGTAGCAAAGTGAAGGTCATGCCCATGGGTCCGGGGCTGACTCGGAGCAGAGAAGCGGGCCGGGAAGGTAACCTGCGTTAACAACGATGCACCACAGCGCCTCCACCAGGCGAGTCACCACAGGGGACCGGGTGACAGGGATGTGTGTCACTGGCTGCTGCTTCCCTTTGCAGTCGTCACCTGTTGGGCAGCAGCACAGTGGTTTTGGGGAAGTGTGTAGCCAAGACGACGAGGATTTAAAACTTTTCTTACTGCGATGCAACAAGCAGGTGCTAAGAATGGAACAAGGAAAGGAGCCGACTGCAGCATGAGGGCCTGACTACGGGTTTGCCGCATTTGTTCCAGGCACCTAACAGCAACTGGGCACGGCTGCAAGCCGCAACTGGGCTTTTCAGCACGTGCCTTCTGGGGCCCAACGGGAAACCCGAAGACACGAAGGACACTAAGGAGAGAGGCATGTGCCGGCGACTCGACAAACTCACCACAGTGGGTGAAACACAGCCAGAGCGAGAACTGAAGGTGCGAGGGGTGTAACAGTACACAACACACTATTTGGTAAAAAAACCATGGTTTTAGCTTCATGGTTCAGTGCAATTTCAGTACCAGGGGGAAATAGATTTTGATCTGAAATTATTTCTTATTAAAACTGCAAATACAATTAAGACCAGTTGTAAACCAAAGGCAATGCCCTCATCAACATGTCTGAATAAAACCTAAGAAAAACACTTGTATGCACATTATGGAAAATAAAAACCATGACAAATGCAGCTTCATATCGACCATAATGAATTAAATCCTGTGTTCTCTACTACTCAATATGGCCGCAAATCTGCAGTGATAAACACCCCTATAGCCATAAAATTTGTTTTTTAGCCTGGTTTGAGTTTCCTGGTAAAGGGCCTTAGATGCCAATCACTAGCAGGGGCTGTTTCTGCTCTGCTCCACTCACACACACTCGAAGGATGTCGTCTCAAATAAGCCAAACACCCTGGATGGGTTTCCAGCAACACACTGGGATTCAGTGAAAGACAGTTTTAGTCTTATCAACTCTCTCCCATGCAGGGGAGATTTATTGGGAAACCAAAATGTTCCCAAACCGCCGATTATAACTAACCAGCTTCAGCCGTAACCAACTCACAGCCAAAATAAGCACGTTTTCCGGGTTGAACGTCTACTTGTTAATTTAGGTTCCACCCACATCAAATGTGTTCATTGGTTTCATCATGCGTACTGAAGGGCACCGTACAGCACTACAGCCCCTGAAGGTACCAGTCCAGCTTATGGAAAATTCAGGTCACATGGGCAACAATACAGACACCCCCCTCCCCACCAAATCTGTCAGATCTTTCAGAGGCTGGACAAGCATTTTCTACAAGGTACTAATCGAAAATAAACCATGCACAACTCAGCGAACCCAACAAAACAAACAGAAATGAATCCAGATCCGACGTACTGGCTCAATGGAAGCATGATGAGGACCGCAGGACTTCCAGGACACGCACATCTGCCCGTCACGCAGTACTTACACAGGTACCCGTTTGGCTGTCCAGCACTCGTCAGCTCTTTCACACTCATTCTTCCCCAATACCTGGTGTGGGCTGCAACATAAAATGAAGAGTCCCAGGCTTGGGACAACCCCCCCCCCACACACCTCTCCCATCATTCCTCAGGTCTCAGGGAAAGCACCATGCAGATTGCCTGGATTTACATGGTCACCACGGCAACAGCCATACAAAACAGGGCCATTTGTTTATGAGTGAAACAAGCAAGCATGTCGAAAAACAAACACGACCAGATCAAAAAGCAAAAAAAAATACTGGTGATAAAAAAGCCCTTTAACGTCCTGTTAGGGGAAACAGCTGATCGTGAGGACAGTGTCTTTGGAAGTCAGTCCCACACGTCACCTGCTGCAGTCTGCCACAGCGGCTTCTGTGACCGTCACAATGGCACCTTGTGAGCACAGAAAGCGGGTGCAAGCAACCTGAGGCAGCCGTATCTCTCCTACACACACACACACACACACACACACACACACACACACACACACACACACACACACCAGCACGGCGCAAGGGCCCGTACCTCCCTCCTGTGCAATGGCACCGTGCCGAGGGGCCTTCAGCTCTGCTCCCCATGCGAGGCGGGAGGCGAGGCGGGAGGCGAGGGACACGGCGGAGGCGGCGGCGCTCTTGCTGTACCACAGGGAGGCACGGCAGAGGGAGCCCAGGACTCCTGAAGCGTGTGCAGCAGCAGACGGCCCCACATTAGCACCCCCCACCCCCGCAAACCTCACGCAGGACATGGATGCTTAAGATCACCCCGTCACCAAAAACTCCCTGGTGGAAGGAAATGAGGACATGTGAAGCAGATAAGGGGGGGGGCCCAGAGTGTAAGAAGCATCCCAGTGAAAGGCAGCTGGACCTCGACAGTCATACAGCACGAGCGTGAACGTGTGTGCACACACACACACACACGATGACAGCGAGCTTGTGACCATGCACTTACATAACCTACTTAATGAGGAACACAAGCAGAGGATTCAAATCAAGTGCAGGCACCAGGCACCATCCCAGAGAGGCAGCCCACACCCGTCAGGGACAAAGGGCAGGAGGGAGGGGGCTGCTGGACAGAGGGGATGGTCACCGCTACCTTTGCCTTCTGTCTGCACCTTCAGCAAAACGGTCTGCACCAGCAGCGTCAGCACGGAGGCGGCCGAGACGGCCAGCCACCTGCCACGCCGCAGACAGGCATCCGAGGACGACGCCAGGACACCTGGAGAGACGCGTCACAGCCAAGGTCAGAGGGCACAGCTAGCAGAGACGTGCCCTCAGTACAGGGACCCCGAGGGGGCCAGGGGGGGGCCGCAATGCCCTACGCAAATGCTTGATGCTGGAGAACCTCCAAGGAAAAATATCACACGGCTCAGACTTAACCTGATGGTTTCTGGTTTATGTCTCTGGTGTCTTAACCTGAACTGTTCAAAAAAGATAATTTTATCCAACTAACACAGACAGAGCAGGCGGCTTGGAATAGATTTAGCCAAGTGAGTGAGACTCGCACGGACCTGGCTTGTGTTTCCGGCAGTACAGCGTAGAAGCGGGGGGGCCGGGGGCAGAGGCTGCAGTGTCCTCATGGGTGTGGGCAGAGTGAAGGGAGGGGGAGTGGGCAGAGAGAATATCCTGCCTTTCTCTCTGCACGGCGCAGTCATCACCGAAGTGGCCAATCAGCATGGAGGTCTGCGTCTGCGCTGTGTGAATGTCAGGCTGGTCCAGCAGGCCGCGGTCTGCAAAGCAAACAGGAAGAGGCCAGACATCAACACTGCTTCATAAGAGGAAACCGCAAACAAGTGAAAAAGAAGTCGCATCTAATCACCATTTCACTGAGCTGACTGCGAAGGATTAAAATGTAAAGTACCACAAAATTACCTCTGATCTCTACATCGTCATCCTCACCTATCACAGAGAGAAGACAAATCAGAGCAAAAATTGAAAGAAAGAAAAAAAAAAACAAACATCCCACAGCAGACATGATGACAAAGCAGACTACAGCAGAGCAGTCCATCGACAACTTACCCCCCCCCCCCCCACAACTAGTCAGGATGATTGTAAAGGAGTTTAAAACTCAGAGCTGTACATTAGCACCCAGCCAGGCTGCGGCGCCTCTCACCCCAGAAGCTGTCGAACAGCGTTCGCTCCTGGACGCAGGATTCGTCCAGCAGGCTGGAGAGCAGGGAGGCGTTGCTGGCTGCGCAGCTGTGCACACTGCCCTGTGTGTGCAGCGCAGAGCCTGGCAGGGACCTGTGTGGCATGAGCAGGACAGACTGCGAGCTCTGATGCTGCTGCTCTTTGCGGCTCCGAACCGTCCTGGGAGACAAGGTGAAAAGGGCAGTTAGGAGACCCTAATCACCAGACGACCCCTCCAATAACCAACACGGGCGTTATAAAGAAATATTCAACAGCAACCGGGTTAGACAATGTGCTGCCTCTTCTCAACAACCATCACCAGAGCAAGGCCTGACACACCAGAAGGACGTCCTAGGATCTCCCTGGGCGTCCATATGCAATTTTGTGCAAACAACCCCCTCAAGCCAATTAAACTGAAATCAATGTACACCACAATGTAAAGTTTCCCCCATCACCCATAAAACGGACAGGTAAACCATACCCCAATGCTGCATAAATGGTGCATAAAAATATCAACGTCTCTTCAACATGGCATCTTTTTAAGCATCGAGTTCCCAGAATCTCATGAGCTTATTTTGTCTTGTTATAAAGTGACGTAAGCTGCCAGGTCGAGTTCCGTACCTGGTTTCCCCGCAGTAACTGAGGGAGAGGTCGGCCAGGCTGTCGTCGCCATAGCGCCCCCCCGGCGTGTGCAGGCGCAGGCTCCGGCGTGACATGCTGGGTGAGCGGAAGGCAGCGGCCCGGGGCTCCCCCTCGTAGCTGGATCTGGCAGACAGGGCGAGCGGCGTTACAGCCGGTTAAGGGGCAGGATACCGGCCCAGCAGGGCGAAGTCACGCGAAGCCGAGTCCTGGTACCCGGGCAGCAGGATGACAGCTGCCGTAAGGGCGAGGGGGCAGAGATTCATATAAACGGTCACCTTATAGGAATTACAATGTATAATATAATCACTAAGGTACGGCAGCAGTTTGTCAGGCATATAAACTGCTCAAACCGAATGTATACACTGGTTCCCGTCAAAGTTCGGGTAAAAAGAGGCTGTTTAACAAAGACGGGATACCCTTCGCGTTCGTACAATAAAGCTCCATTTTAACAGCTCTTATAGAGACGTTGAATAAAAAAGGCATGTATCCACCGCATAAATAACGCATAATAATCCGAGTGACAAGCAGCTACATTAAAGCGGAGCGCGGATACGGCTCTTTGTATAGGGTGTCACTCACCCATATCCCCCAAATAACGGTTCGCCTCCATTTTTGGGAGGTAAACTGGCAGCTCGGCTCCGCACGCGCCGAGCTCACGCGGATTAAAGGCCCGCGCTTTTCGGGCAACACCGAGCGGCTGCAGTTGTGGTTATAAAAGAATTTACCGTGTAACCCAACATACCACACTCGCATTTAAGCAATGCACTAAACTTAGCGATAATTTTCTCGTTTCCCCAGTGTTAATTTGATTTTAAAACAAAAAAATTTAAAAACGCACAACAGATAAATCGAAGATACAATCACCCCATAATGGGTTAGATTTAAACTAATAGGGTATGCAGTACTTTGCACAGGTACCAGACCTTGTAAATTTAAGCATTAATTCTAACCTAGAAGGTACGGAGCAAATATACACAGATCTCACCTGGTATGTCTGCACTGGGGGCAGTATTAGCTAAACTCACAAAAGGCAACTAAATACTAAAAAAAAGTACACCCCCCACCACCAAATGGCCAATCAAATAATAGCAATCTAAACTTTGGACTCAAATGGTGGATCCAGAAAATCAGGTTGTGCCCACCCAGTGACAGGCAGCACCTGGTGGTCTGCAATGTTATCACCAGCTACACTAAGCAAAAGAGGAGCGACGTCTCCAATAGAGGAGCTAGAAAGGGGTGACCTGCCATCGCGGCTCTGCCAGCCACTCGTACTGCCTGACACATGGTCACTGGAATTACCCACAGGACAGTCCACCCCCAGCAGTCCAGACCGCAGGTCTCCTCGGCCATCATCCCGCACAGAAACCCCCTCGTCAGAGCGGCGGCTGCAATCGGGACAGCGCAACACGCAGCTCGTGTCAGCGCAGACGTGACAGGACACACGACAGCAGGCACCATGCAGGGGGAAGGCGGCCAGACACAGGCAGAGCCAACTGCCGCCCGTTACAGGGACCTTTGACCGTAATCCAGTGGCGGTTTTCCAGTCGCTCAGACCAGACGCCTTTCTCTCTCTCTCCCTCACACACACACACACACACACACACACACACACAGCTGAGAGCTGGCACAGTGCCTGAGCTGTAGACACAGACATGTTTTTTCAGCGCACTGTGCACCTGTATATGGATGTGGGTGAACAATAAGGAACTTGAGTCACAGGCTTTATTTACACAGGGTGAGCAGGCCGAGTGCTTGACTTCAGCTGAAGGGTCAATCGCTTACCGACATCTGCTGGACTGATAACTACAGACACCCCCCCCCCCCCCAAAGTCACTTCAGGCCTTGGCAGGGAATCTGCTGCAGCGTCACCTTTCCCAGTGAGGATGAGCACTCAAGCAAAAGGCAAAGAAAGGCAAGCGGCCATGGCTGTGCGCAGAAATGCTTTTCCTTTCCTTTTTGAGGCCAGACCCTCTTTCCCAGCTGTGTCAATTTAACAAAAACAAACCAAAAAGAAAGCTGACTGATGACTGAGGCCCGAGCATGTGGTCACAACGTGCCCCACCTGATGCTCACCTGAGGGACGTGTGGCCCGTGTTGCGAAGAGGGGGTGAGCGCTGACACGGCTGCCAAGTCTCCACGGCCCTCCTCGAAACACCCTGCGCAAGCAAAGGCAGCGGGGAGTCAGGTGACAAGGGGGGGGGGGGGGACCTGTTGCTCAGCCGGGACAGTGACCGTCACACATGCACATGCCGTCCCACCTTACAGCCGCTCTGACACACACACGCCTCACAGGGCTAAACGTCCTCCCTCCGGCGCAGGCACTCCAACGCTGCTCAGCATGTCTCTGCACCGCGTCACTGCAGACACTGCGCCACGTCACTGCAGACACGTCACTGCAGACACGTCACTGCAGACACGTCACTGCAGACACGTCACTGCAGACACTGTACTCACCTCCACGTTCAGCCCTATGGCTTCAAAGTTAAAAACCTACCCCCAGACTCCGCCTGCCCAGCCCGCTCTTTCACTAACAACACAGACATCCGGATAAACACAAACACCTACAAAAAACATGGCACAAGAATCACGAGAAATCAGCCATTTTATTAGCACCAGGGCTAGTGGTTCAAGTGCCAAGCAATAGTGAGTGAGGAATGAGGGGACAGGAGGAGGAGGACCCCCCCAGCTTCTTCAACAGGACACAAGGTCCTCGCTCCTTCCGCTCTCAGAGCGAAGCATTAAAAAGCCAGCCACACCCCCCCAGCCAGATCCTGTGGGGCAGGGAGGGGCCACACTTACCTACAGCTTCCTGCCAAAAGCCCAGGTTCAGACAGCCTACAGGAGGCTGGGGCCCACAAATTATAGGGAATTGTTTTTTTATTTTTTTTTTAAAAAAGCGATAATGGCGGATCAGAGTGCACCAATAACGGGATGCTTCTCACATGGGTATATTACAAATAGGTCAAGTTTAACAGAAAAGACCTCTGGAGTACCACAGCGCAAACATAAATCGGTAGCTGTACCTATAGTTGTAGGTAAATGTACCTTTTATGGTACAGAAATGGACTCTGATGAACATATTTCTACCATTGAGGGTGCATTAATGTTGTATGTATTTCGGGGGTGTTCCTCAGAGTCCATTTCTGTACCTTAAAAGGTACATTTACCTACAACTATAGGGTACAACTGGCAAAGCCTTGAGGGTAGTCCCAAAGACGAACAAAGGTACAAACTGGTACTCTTTTTCGGACAGTTTAGTAACGCTCCTCGATTACAACATTTAGCCAAAAGGGAACAAAGCCGATTGCCACAAAAATAATCAGTCTTGCAATTAACTTTGTATCGGTGGTGTTACCGAAATAAAATATTCACTGTTAATTCGGCCTTTCATGTACTAAAACAGAACTGATACCAAAAACAAGTTGAACAAGGAAACATCCCTAACCACAAAAAAGGCTATGGGCAACATGCAAGGTATAGAGACCGCAATACCCAGCCATAAATCAAAGGTTATTTATACAGTTACAGTTTAAATAGCTTGGGTCTCTAGCAAACGAAAAATACATTAACCTGTAACCTTGACCATTCAAGTGTGATCCTATAGTACAGGCTACTCAGCGTTTCATAAGAACAACCTCGAGCAAAACGGGGTCTGACATTTAAATCCCGCCCTCATATTAAATTCTGACTAATTCTTGAATAGTAACATATGACTAAAAATAAATAATCGTTTAAAAGGGACCAAAGCGCGTCCACCTGCAGGTTCAGCTCGCTCCCTGGAGCGCGGTCCTGTCGACCGCCGCGGCAGCTGGGGACGCGCATCCTGAAACCGGTGCGGGACGCCGGATCCCCGTACAGCCTCCACAGAGGACAGATCCCAGAAATGGAGGAGGACGTCAGTCAGCTGAAGGTTTGCAATCCTCAGTCATCACAGGCAGAGCTGCAAAGCGGCTCCCCACACGCGGAGAGACGGAGCCCGATCGATCAGAGCAGCCTGTGTTCCTCCCCCTTCCAGCGGCGTCGTGCGCTGCCGGTGTGACGCACGTGTGAAAAAGCAAAAGACCGCAAACTTTTCTGCGTTATTCTAAGATTTCGCGTTTACCGCTGCGCCAGGCTGAAGGGACTTTAGGTCTCGCTCTGCTGAAACCTACATTTTAGAATATGACCAAAAAAGTGTATAGATAATGTTTATGTGCGAGATAGACCTCAAAGCACAACACAAAAACCCAGAAATTTCTTTTAGCATTTACAATTTAATTTTCCCCAGTGAGACAGAGTCAAATAAAATGCTGGAATACGATAATGCCAACACACCAGTTCACATTTGCTCCATCTTAAACTATTTAAACGACCCGGACTGACCGAAAAGGGGAAGTGGAAAAACTTGACAGCTTATGCAAATAAAAAAAAACACGGTGGATAATAAACAATTCACAAGAAGTGCGGGAACATTATTAATTTAATTTATTATTACTTTTGAGCATGCCTGCCCACCACAAGGGTGTCTACAATTAAGTCACAGAAAAAGGTAACCAGAAACTTAAAGCCCTTGCTCAAATCCCAATGAAGCCGACGTGCTTAGCGTTAGCGTCCAGCCACCCTATTTGCATTTTTCCTGTCCGGGAGTTTCGTAAACCGTAAAAATAAAGTTCACTGACATTGAATGCAAATTGTGTCAGAGTAGAAATGAGGGAGTTCATAACCTGTCTAACTGTTCTCGTTATCCTTTGTTAAAAAAATATTCCATGATCTAGGCCTATAATAGTTGTTTTTTTCTGACCTTTCCCTTCCATCATTTTATTCTGTGTTCACAGCCCGTTGTAATGTACAAGTAGGCTATTATTGTCCTTGACAGGGGAACCCGATAATTAGCATCATCGTCTTAGAAACGCATTTAGTACTTTGTTCAATATATATACTGAATACCAACATCAGAGTTCCACTTAAGATGCTCATAAGTTTCTGATTTATAACTCCAGCACGCTTCTGCATTACATAATGACTGAAAACTCGCGCTCCCAAAGGTATAATTACCAATGCTTTCTGAACTAATTAACCAGAAATAATAGCGCTGCTATTAATTAACCCAATGAGTAGAATTAATCACCACTGAGCTAAGACATTTCCCCGATTAAGGTTGTGATTTTTAAGGGTAACATGGCGCAATAGCTCTCTGAAAAAAACATTTGTAATTTAGGATTCCTAAAAAGGTGCCTCAGACTATGAAATCATAGCATCTCAAAAATGCAATGGCTCTCTTTTCCATAAATAGTTCGACAAATATGCAGGCTGTTGTAGACACATCAAAATAAAGTAATCCCCTGAATAGCTAACTAATCCTATAAATACGTGATTAAAACGCAAGTGAATAGCCAAGATACTCATTTTACATAGAACTAGTCATTAGTTAAAGTACAATGCCACAATATGTCTTTCGCTCAGCAAACAGGATAACCCCGACATTACAGAAGAGTACCTAACTATAGTTACTTAGGATGTCCTGCAAAATTCAACCCAGCTCACATAAATTAAGATCTGGCTGACAAACACCGAAAAACCACCACAGTCGTGGCTGTCAACACAGGGACATTAATTAGGAAGTTGTTGCCAAATCACTTACTATATATATTTTTTGTGGTGATTCCAAGTCAGCTTGAGTTCTCTTTTCTGCCGTAAATAAACCGTGATAACTGAATATGGCTACTAACAAGGTACTTCACTTAAAATGTTTTAAAATATTCAAAGCGGCGAAAATATATGGGACCTCTGCTATTACACCGTTATAATAGTATATGACACAACCCTGACTGGTTTTAACTAGTTATACTTCTAATCAATAAAATCCACAAAGCCAGTTTAATTACAACCTATTCGATCCAAGCTAAAGAGCAGCGATAAATGCGTCACCAAACGGATATTACGTTTCTCCACCAAAGAACTGCTTTAATTAAGCGGATGAAACATTGCTGCTCTTAATTATAACAATGCTGTAAACTATATATTTTTTCCAAATTGTTTGTCACATCACGAGACGCTAATATGTGTTTTGATCTATTTTAATTTTATATTATATTAAGTATTGATTTTATTAGATGCCCGCCCCCAAACAAAAACTAGGACTTGGGATAAAATGTCATATTATTGGCTTGAACATCAGCGTGCTGCAGCATTCGGGGTCTGAGTCACCGCCTCTCTGTCTTTGCCCGCCGCCGTAGATACACTCTGCATTCGCACCTGACCCTAACTTTATTCGCGATATAGCCCATGATAACAAAATCTTATTTTACGAATGAGGCCTATTTTTAACTAGCCCGAAACACCGCCACCCTATTTCAAAACTATCACCGAACCCGGCAACCCTGCCTGCGGTGGACGGCAGCACGCTGTCAGTCACCGACTGTAAGCCAATAGGAGGTATTATCTTCATAAGTGTAACGTCCAGGGGGCGGGATCATGGCGGTTGCTAAGAGGCGCTGTTGCCGCCGGAAGTTGACGTGCGGGAGCGGGAGTCAGATGAAGTACAATACGGACTGATTTAGCAATGCCAAATAAAATCATTTAGTGCCCCCGGCCATCTCATCTCTGTATTTCCCTGCCACCCTCCCCAGAAAAGAGACGCGACGAGCGAAGCGGCGACCTCGGCATGAACGTGGATGATCAAGCGCCAAGGTAAAGGAAATGCAGCCTCGTTTATAATCAGTTCCGTGTAGGGCCGGCATAACTGTCAGAGGCATCGCGATCCATGCTGTCCCGATCCGCCTTACTGTCAGTTAGCTAGCTGGCTTTCTCTCTTACCTTTGTTCTGTACGCGTGGTTTCCCTAAACTCACTTAACGTGCCCCGCCTATTTCCTAATGCCGTATAACGCTCAGACCCAGTCAGTATCTTACTAGTCTTAGCCTGTGGGAAATGCCATGGCGATCTGCCACCTTTAAATGACTAGCCATAGCATGGACCTGCTTTATAGTGCTATGGAAACAAAGGCGCAGCGCAGACGCAACGAATCCGGTAACTAGTGACTACAGGAGACATTCAAAGCAGATGCCGTTAGCCGAGCCGCACTGGACTGCAGCGCTCCTCCAGGGCTAGGGATTTGCCCGCTCTGCCTAAAGACACGCAAGCTAATTGGTATCTAAGAAATCCCGATGTGTAGCTTTGTAAGGAAAAACTCATGGTTTATGGGATTAATTAAAATAGCAGGTGGTATTTGAGTGTATGGTTACAAGAAGTTACACATTACCCACGTCAAATATACTTTTTAAAAATTAAGCTGTGAAAATGTAATACAATTACAAGAGAGCACAGGATATAACAGATGGCAAAATAAAATGTACAGTTTCCAGTGCTGTTTTGGGTTTAGATGTCAGCGTTTGCTCCTGTCACACGCTGGTGTGCTGCGTCATGCTCCTCTTTGTCCACTGAGGGACTCTGCTGGGCACTGTAGGACTTGGGAGGGCAGCAGGATGTAGCCAGTCTGCTTCTCCCTTTGTCGCACCGTGCAGCACGCCGGCTGGGGGGCCGCGGATGGAGAGCTACGAGGAGTTCTGCTCACGGAGCCTGGCCAAGCTACAGGTAGAAGCTGAGCTTCCGGAAGCTGAGCATCCGGAAGATGAGCGGTCGGAAGCTGAGCATCCACCATGCCGCCGCTCTGCTGGGCCACCGGGGGCGTCGCGCTCCAGCATCCAGTTCCACGGGGTGGCTGTGCTGTCGCCTTTGGTGAGCTCCAGCCCGTCCCCATTCAGCTCTCATCTTACCCATCAGGAGCTAAAAAGTCAAGCCAGTGATCCAGGGTCAAACCTTTTCACCATGTCTACCTTTATTTAAAGGCTTCTGCACATCCTTGACCTGTTCTCAGGGTTGGTGATCTCCGTTTATTCACGCATAACAGAGCACTGTTGGCTTCCTCCTGTCGCCCCAGTCAGGGGGCAGCCACGTCGTGTTCCTGTGCTGTTTGAGTTAGTCTCCAGGCCCCCAGTTTAGAAGCTGGATGGATGTTGTATTTATTGTTAGAGGAGTGTATCTCTCTCTCTCTCTCTCTCTCTCTCTCTCTCTCTCTCTGTTTGGTTCTGTCCTTATCCTGTTGCCTAGTAACCAAACATGATGCTCATTGGTGTAGCTGTTGTTGATACTATAGCAGTTGTAGGTGGTTTCATTGTAGTTGGACACACTTGGTCCTGCCATTATGTGACAGGAAGCAGGTCATTCCGCGTCGGCTGGCTTTATCTCGCATCTGTGTGGCGCGTGACGGTTGGCAGTATGCCAGTCCTGTTGAGGCGTCTCCCGTGTTGCCGGGCTGGCAGTGGGTCGGGCTGTAACTGCCCTGCGTGTTAGACAGGTTCCGTCTCCCAGCGATGCTGAAACGGTAACTAGCAGGTGCAAAGAAAGCTCTCCTTCCAGTTAATGTCAGAGGTCTGGCCAAGGGGGGTCCTCACTGCTGGGAGGTAAACGAAAGCTCTTAATGGTTTCTCAGTAACTGAAATGGGGGTAACGACAGCGTGTGTTTAAATTACTCAGCCGTGACAGAGCTTAGGGGGAATGGGACAGTCACTGGAGGGGGGGGGGGGTCTGGGCTCCCAGGGATCCATCTGGAAGCTTCTGCAGTGTTAAGTGTTCAGTGTTGCTGTGAAGAGCGAGCGTAGCTGCTGCTGCTGCACTGACATGGTCTCTCCCTCCCTTCCCCCCCACCCCCCACCCTCAGCTGAGCGAGCAGCAGCGCCTGGAGATGAAGCAGCACCGGCAGAGGGCCCTGAAGCTGGAGTGCGACCTGCAGAGTCTGCGCAGAACTGCGCTGCTGGCCCGCGTCCAGAGCATCCTGGATAGCGTGAAGGTGAGCCCCTCCGCTCTGCCCCCACATTCACCCTCTCTGTTGAGCCTTTTTGAGCCCTCTGATTCTGTGAAATGAAGAATAACATTGCAGATGCTACACACCATTCTATCAGCGTGAAAAACACAGGACTGTCTGTCTGCCAGAGCTGGGAGGGACTGTAAACACTGCTGGCCATATTGCCCTGAACACAGGATCCTGGGATATTTGGGTTCTCGGTTTTCTATAATGTCCCCTTGGGCTTCAGCCTGGGAAAACCATGGGCTCTGTGGCTCAGTGGATTAGGCCTCTTTGTCTGTGATCAGAAGGTCAGTGGTTTGAATCCCGGGGATGATGGACCCCTTAGCAAGGTCTTTAAAGCCCAGTTACTGGAGTGTCACTGGATGCTGGCCGGCCCTACGCTGTAACCCCTTTATATTTGCGTTTGTGTCTCATGGACAGCAGAATAGTGATGAGAAATCACTATTCTGTTCTAAATAATCACTCCTTGTGCCACCTGGAGCAGCTGAACCGAAGAGGATGCATTAGTGTCACACTATTCACACTGACTCATGAATTATGTTCCCAAGCTGGGAGAAATTTAGCAGCTTCAGTCTCTACAAGCTGCTCAGTCACCACTGCCTTGTTTAAGACGGCTGCCTGGGGGGGGTTCCTGGTTGCTGACTCATGGCATGCTAGGTGTCCCACCCAGAGCCGCACTTTGGTGGCATGTAGGTGCGATGGGCAGCCTTTGTTCATGTATGATAGCACTGGTGCCCTACTGGCACATGCCCAGCACTGGCAGTGTTTCTGAGACTGATTCCCGTTCATGTTGGCAGCGTTTGTTTCTCTTGTGCTTAGCTGTGGTATAATGAGGCTTTGGATCCTGTCCACATGCTTTTTCTGGAGTCCCATCCCAGCTCTGGCTCTCCGTGTACCCAGCGTGCCTCTCCCCGACTTGCAGGTGCGGCAGACAGCAGGGGAACCGCTGGTGCTGGACCCTCCTGCCATTTGCTTCCAGAAACCGGATCCTCAGAACGCGCTTGACCCTCCTCCAGAGCCGAGAGGCCTATCTAGGATGGGGTTGGCTAGCCAGACTGCAGGAGCCAGTGCTGAGGCAGAGCTGCGGACGACGAAGGGCCCCGTACAGCTCAATGGGGCAAAGGGAGGAAGAGGGGAGGAGGAAGAGGAGGACAGTGAAGGAGGACAGAGCTGGAGCCTGCAGGTCCTGCTGAGACACTCCAAAGAGCTGCTGGAGGAGGAGCAGGACCGCAAGCGGGCCCAATCCATCAACGGATCCGTGCCCTCAGCTGAAGAGGCTCCTCTTAAGGGAAACGAGCCAAGCTCTGCTGGGGCCACCTCTGGGCCTTCATACAGTCCCCTCAGTCCTGCCGGGGCCCAACCCAGCTTTAGCCCCTCCCACAGTCTAGTCAGCTCCACCCAGCCACATCTCAGTTGTAACTCCACCCAAACCCCCTTTAGCTCCGCCCAGTTCCAGCCCAGTGCTAACTCCAGCAAGCTCCAGAACAGCCGTTGCCCCACCCATAGCCCTCTGGGCTCCCCCCAGCTTCAGTCCAGCCCTAGCTCCACCCACAGTTCTGTCAGCTCCTCCCAGCCAAGCCCTAGCCCCACCCACAGAGCTCTCAGTCCTGTCCGGGTACAGCCCAGCTCTTCCCCAGACAGCTTCCCAGACTCTCTGCTCGGTTGTACGCCACACAGCCTGACTGGCTCATACGTCCAGCTGCCCTGTCCTGAGCCCAGCCTGAGCCCCCTCCCTCACCGTCGCCGGCCACGCCCCGTTTCTGCCGGAAACATCCTCATCTCCTGTCCTATGAGCGCTGCAGAGCTCAGTCCCCAAAAGGCCCCGGAAGGGCATCCGTTGGCAGCCTGGGGACCAGGTGTTTCTGCCACTTACACAGACTGGAGCACACCGGACCACCCCTCCACTGTCGACTCTCTGCCGCCCTCTACAGGCAGTGGTTGGCCTTGCAGCCCCTCCTGCCTGAGTTCAGTCCATAGCACGAAGAGCCCTCCCACATCCAGCCCGTTATTGAAAGACGGCGTCACGCCGGACTTCCGCAGACGCTCGCAGACACTGGACAGTCAGCTGTGCCTCCCTCAGCAGGCTGAGCAGAGCCAGGAGAGAGTGCCCCGTTTCCTGTGCGGACAGCCCCAGCTGGTCCCCAGCCGCCGCTCACCACCCGCGCCTCTCAACCAGTCGTACGATGTGGAGAGCCCCTCCCCCATGCTGCAGCGCCCCCACGTGGACTCAGACCCCCCTCCCAGAGATTCCGGGGCGGGTGCAGGACACCAGAGCGCTGTGGTCCCGCCAGGGGGGGCACAGGACCCCAGTGCAGGTGATGCATGCTGTACGAACGTCTGCTCCTCAGTACAATGCAGTTTCTCCACATGCAGCGTTTGCATCGGCGGGTTAGGGTGCTGCGTCTGTCATCAGATGGTCGTCAGTTCAAATCCCAGTGCCAGCTGAATGATGTCACCGCCGGGCCCCTGAGCGAGGCCCTTAACCCAGGGACTGTTTGATCCAGCTTCCTCAAATGTTGATTGCATTGGACAAATGCATTGGTCTGCAAAGTAAATGAAATGTAAATAAATAGATCAGTATAGTGCTAGCGATCATAATGTTTTATAACTGCTTTGTGCAGTGATTTGTTAGGTTACTTATGGTTATGGTTAGGGCAGGGTATCGGTTAAGGTTGTCATAGTTAGCGTTAGCATTTTTCCCATTGAAATGAATGAACGGTCCCCATAAGGATATGTTTACCCTACATGTGCACATGTGTGTGTGTGTGTGTGTGTGTCTCTCACAGGCCAAGTGCAGTGGCAGCTCCAGGCCCTGGAGGAGTTACAGTGGCGCCTGTGGGAGGATCATGCCCAACAGCTGTCTCTACTTAGAGCCGAAAAGGAACGTGAGCAGCAGCGCCTCCAGCAGGTTGGAATGTGACATCACAAATAATAAAATGCATAGATTACTTAAGCTACTGTAGCCTCTCTAACCTTTGCCCTGTGGCTGACTGTGTGTGGCAGCTGGAGGAGGACAGGAGGTCAAAGGAGCAGAGTGGAAGGCTGTCCCAGGCTGAGGCCACCGCGCCCCAGCGGAAGGCCCTGAATGACAGCTGCCCCCTGAGCCCCATGCCCCTCCCGGACAGATCCCCCGGGCTCAGCAGTCACAGCACAGGTATGCAGGCGCTCCTTGGAGGATACTGACCCTGATACTCTGTGTGTGTCACTATAGGGATAGTACTCAATGCACCAGAGTGTACACCTGCAGGAACTTAGGACTGTGGATGATAAAGATGCTAATGCAGAAGGGGCACGCAGAAGGCATGCTAACTACTGTGCTAATGCAGAAGGGGCACGCAGAAGGCATGCTAACTGCTATGCTAATGCAGTAGGGGCACGCAGAAGACATGCTACTGTGCTAATGCAGAAGGGGCACGCAGAAGGCATGCTAACTGCTATGCTAATGCAGTAGGGGCATGCTAACTGCTATGCTAATGCAATAGGGGCACGCAGAAGGCATGCTAACTGCTATGCTAATGCAGTAGGGGCACGCAGAAGGCATGCTAACTGCTATGCTGATCCAAACATTAGTAAAACGAATGCCCTCATGAGCTGTATTAACTATTAAAATTCTGACAATAACCTTGGCTTCCTTTCCAGGTTACTCCTCTTTCTTTAGCAGTTCAGATATGCCATCGCTAGCTGTCCAGAGCCCTGCTTACCTGAGGGGGACTTCCTGGGGGGGCAGCAAGCCCAGAGGCAGGCACAGCGAGGTGGGTGTGAGTACAGCATGTATATTCTGCGTCTGTGTGTGTCTGTGTCTGTGTCTGCGTGTGTCTGTGTCTGCGTGTGTGTGTGTGTCTGTGTGTCTGTGTCTGTGTGTCTGTGTGTGTGTGTGTGTGTCTGTGTGTGTGTGTGTGTGTCTGTGTGTGTCTGTGTCTGTGTGCTTTTTCCCCCTGGATGTGACATGTCACCTGTACCAGGTGATGACCTCCGAGCAGCAGAGGGCGCTGTGTCGTCTGGGTGCCATGGCTCGAGGGTTCCTCACACGCAGGCTTCTGGACACGGCGAAGCTGAAGCACTTGCGGCAGACCGTGAAGGTAGTGGTGTGGGCGCCGCACACCTGCACGGGTGCAGGCAGCTGGATGGACACACAAATACATACACCTTCACATACAGGACTGCGCAAAAGTCTTATGCAGTCCAAAGAAATGTTTAAAGTTGTTTATCTGGGTAGCAGGTGTACTTTGGCTTCGAAGAAAAAACACAATTTAACATTAGAACATGTGCAAATTAAGAGTAACACAATAAAAACTAGTAATAATTTCTTCTGTTTTCTAAAAAGTTACTGATATCTAGTTGGATGGCTAGATGAACACCGCTTCAGTTCCCAAACCTCTCCTCAGGGGCACCTCAGCCGTTCCATGATTTTGTTAAATTTCACCAACAGCTCAGTTAAATAATTAAATAAATTGGTTTAAAAAGTCTGTGATGGGCTGGCGACCTGCCCAGGGTGTCCCCCGCCTCTCACCCGGAGATGCTGGGATTGGCTCCAGCTTCCCCGCGACCCAGATGGATTAAGCGGTATAGATAATGGATGGTTTAAAAAGTCAGTGACAGATTGAGGTGTGCTAGTTCTGCTAGTTGCCAAGTCAAAAAATACTGACTGCACTGGACGGTCACTGCAAATACTGGGATGATTCGGAAATGGCTACGCTGACACACTTTGACAGGAATGATATCATAGTTTTGCACCAACACGAGCATAATCTAAACATCATTTTCTTTGCCTGCCTAAGACTTTTGCGCAGTACTGTATGCAGGGACACAGTGACCTTGATGGACCTTGTGTTCCTGCAGGACACACAGGAGTTCATTCGCTCCTTCCAGAAGGAATCCCCTGCGATGAGGGGCTCGCTGTGCACCCAGGACTTCACGCTGCAGGAGAGAGTCCGGGCTCAGGTGACCAGGCGTCACTGCAGCACATGACCATCTCCAGAGAGTCACATGACCATCTCCAGAGAGTCACATGACCATCTCCAGAGAGTCACATGACCATATCCAGAGAGTCACATGACTTTACCTCATATCATTTATGACTTTCAGTTAAAATCCTACTGAAATCTGCATGCTACATCACATTTTATATGAGGTATAGTTTGCTGCTGAATGAATAAGGTAGTCATCTCTAGATCGATCACTCCTCATTTCTGACTACGATTCACGGAATGTTTGCTCTTCTTGACCAATGAGCCATGTCTGTCTGGAGAGTATGTTAATAACAAGTCATTCTATTGGCTATTCAGTGCGTGGAACTGATCATGCAGCATACTTTCGAAGTAAACTCTGGCTTACATGTCGAAGGTCGTCATTCTAGCATTCATATGCACCCTGCAGGCTTGCGCTTGTGAACCTGTGTGTCTCTCTGCTGTCATGTGCCTCGCAGCTGCGTGCCGCCCTGTTCGACGTCCACGACATCTTCTTCGTGATGCCCCTGGGAGACAGACTGGCACTCTTGCGACAGGACAGGGAGCTACAGCGGGAGAAGAAACTGCGAGAGATGGTGAGCTGAACGCGTTGCCCGCCTCCACATAACCAAGTCCCACCCCTTTCTGAATGAGCCGTGCTCATTGGTTCGTGGTTGTACAGACCTGTCAAGACCCTCTCTCCTTCACCAGCCTGAGACAGATGTAAAGATGATATTTACTGTATGGATGTCTTTAAAACGAACTCCATGTCCCATGTGGATTGTAGGAGAAAGCTAGGAGTCCCCAGGACAGGGTGACACTGTCCACAGCCACCCAGAAGTCGATGGACCGGAAGAAGCAGAGGTGAGATGTGACAGAGTGCTTATGCATCTGCTGATTAAAATGACACCGCCCAACATAACAGAATATGGGTCTGATCTGTGATTCTCTTTCCCTGTGTCACTCAGGGTGAGTAACGCACCGGGACAGTGGCGGAGGTCCCGGGAGAAGCCGAAGAGTCCCATGGTGAAGAGGTGCAGCGCTCCCTGCTCCGAATCGGCATCCCGGGGAGTGACTCCCAGCCCAGTGCTCCGGTGGGTCTCATGTGGGGCTTCGTGATGGAGTGAAAAGTACAGATTCGATGAATGTTCCAGGGTGACAATTGGGGGGCCTTTGTTTACTTGGAGTTACTGAATATCAGTCAGTGTAGCAGCCCAGCTTTTCTGTAAACTAATTATTTACTTATTAATTATTCAGGGTGTGGGCAGTGATGTGAATTCTTGTTCCTCACCGTGAGTTTATTCTTTCCCCATCTTGCACGCGTAACCGGTTCCGGACAGAAACTCGGCCCGGGTCCTGCAGCCGAACCAGGGCCAGAACGCCCCCCGTCCGGGGCAGCTGCCAAGACAAGGGTGAGAGGCGTGGTGGGCACTGCAGCTGGGTCCGTACATGTGCACTGGCGTGTAACATGGACTCCCGTCTCCCTGCACCTTTCAGGAGCCTGTACAGGAGGAAGCCAGAGGAGCGTGTCAAGCGCTGTGACAGCCTGAGGAGGCAGCACTCGCTGGGGTAGCAGCCCCCCCCATCTGTAATCACCCAAACGTCACCCGTGTGATATGCCACCAGTGTCCCTGTGCCAGTCACATTACTCTGTAAACCCCTTCGCTCTGAAAGCCGTGTCGTGACCCCTTATGCTTATAGAACACCCCCTCCAATACACAGACCCCCCCCCCCTTTTTCCAGTTGGTGCCCTGTGACATTCTGTCCCAAACTGGGTGCAGATTCCTCTGATTGTCATTGTTGCTGTTTCTGTAACTCCAAACTTACCATGTTTTACATGCTCATCTAACACGCACAGGTATCCTCTTGCCAAAAAAGTTACAAAGCCTGTTTAGTAATATTCTGCCAGATTAGCGTCTTTCCCGTGGGGTATAAGGAGGTCCCAGGGTCTGCTGAGGAAGCTCAGCAGAACATGGCGCATGGAGACTGTTCGTGGATCATAGAGGGGAATTCCACGTCAACTGTCTCACTGCACAGGTGCCATTCTCTGTCCCTTCCCCCATCTAACTGTCTCACTGCACAGGTACCATTCTCTGTCCCCTCCCCCATCTAACTGTCTCACTGCACAGGTACCATTCTCTGTCCCCTCCCCCATCTAACTGTCTCACTGCACAGGTACCATTCTCTGTTCCCTCCCCCATCTAACTGTCGCACTGCACAGGTGCCATTCTCTGTTCCCTCCCCCATCTAACTGTCGCACTGCACAGGTATCATTCTCTATCTCCTCCCCAATCTAACTGTCTCACTGCACAGGTGCCATTCTCTGTCCCCTCCCCCATCTAACTGTCTCACTGCACAGGTACCATTCTCTGTCCCCTCCCCCATCTAACTGTCGCACTGCACAGGTTCCATTCTCTGTCCCCTCCTCCATCTAACTGTCTCACTGCACAGGTGCCATTCTCTGTCCCCTCCCCCATCTAACTGTCGCACTGCACAGGAGCCATTCTCTGTCCCCTCCCCCATCTAACTGTCACACTGCACAGGTGCCATTCTCTGTCCCTTCCCCCATCTAACTGTCGCACTGCACAGGTGCCATTCTCTGTCCCCTCCCCCATCTAACTGTTTACCTGCACAGGTGCCATTCTTTGTCCCCTCCCCCATCTAACTGTTTACCTGCACAGGTGCCAGGTGCCATTCTCTGTGCCCTACCCCATCTAACTGTCTCACTGCACAGGTGCCATTCTCTGTGCCCTCCCCCATCTAACTGTCTCACTGCACAGGTGTCATTCCCTGTTTCCTCCCCCATCTAACTGTCTCACTGCACAGGTGCCATTATCTGTCGCCCCGCCCCCCAAAATGCTGTTTTATTCTCTGTCTGCCACTTAAACAAACTGGGCTTCACAGGACACCACAGTGTAACTCCTCACTGCAGCATCACTGCATCCTTTCCCACCAAGGTTAGTGCCCAATCTCACACACTTGAGCTCCTTGACCTTGTCACTGAGGTTCTGTTTAAAGACTGACCTTTTCGTTTATAGTTTAGTATCGTCTGTAAGACTGATATAAATGCCTGTTGACCATAAAATGAGTGCCCTCGAGATGCCCTCAGTGCGGGTGGTGCCCTCAGTGCGGGTGGTGCCCTCAGTGCGGTTGGTGCCCTCAGTGCGGNTGGTGCCCTCAGTGCGGTTGGTGCCCTCAGTGCGGGTGGTGCCCTCAGTGCGGGAGGTGCCCTCAGTGCGGGAGGTGTCCCACTTTACACTTTTGAAGGATTCTGTGCTTTGTATTTTCATAACAGACTGGCAGTGATGTGGCATGTAAACACCCACAGATGTATCGGGTCAATGTGCTTTGGTGCTGGTCAGTGCCCACAGACCCTGGTGCCCCAGCTCTCATCCAAGCAGCGTCTTGGGACTGGTTCTAATGGAATTGGGTCTTCATTGTGTTTTATAGCTTTTACAGTTGCTGTTTTCTGATTCATTACACTGTGTTGTTTTTGTACTTTTACCAACCTTTTACAGTCATGTTGTGTTAATAAATTTAACAGTAAAACTAATTTATACATTTGAGTATAATGTTGTCCTTTGTTTTAAATAAATGGGTTTATAGAATAGAGAAATATTCAAAAGTTTTAATGAATATGTTTGTCCAAATCATAATCTCAGGCAATAGTGGCGTATTTCAGTGAATAATATGCAGTTATTAAATTAACTCTGAAATCTTGTAAGATTAGTTTTAAAAGTTTAGTGGTAAATTGATGTTTGTTTGTGTAAAAAAAAATCTATGATGACTTCCTGCAGGCATTTAGATTTGAGAGTCATGAAGCATATTAATGTGTAACTGCGGCATGACGGTCTGGGATTGTGCCACTTTGCAGTCAGGTTCTGTAAATATGCCGCAGCAGAATGCTCTCCTGACCCTGATGCTCCTGTAGCCCAGCGACGTCAACACCCGCCTTCCCGCGCAGTCACGAGAAAAAAACGTATCTCTGCACTGATTGGCAAGTGCTTTGTTCCATTAAGTACCCTAAAACAGCATCAGTGTTTTCATACTGGGGAGAGACCTTACTCTAATTACACCAAGTGCAATTAGCATTTTAGTAAAGTAGGAAACCTGGAAAAACATCTGAATTCACACAGGAGACGAGCATTTCTCCTGCACAAACTGTGGGAGGAGCTTTGGGCATATAGGCAACTTCAAGGAACATCTGCGAATTCACACAGGAGAAACCGTACTCGTGCACAGAGTGTGGGAAATGTTTTAGCCATCTTGGGAATTTAAAAGAACATCAGCAAATTCATACTGGAGGGAAACCATACAGCTGCAGTGAATGTGGGAAAAGTTTCAGCAATAACAGAAATTTGAAAACACAGGTGAGTTCACACTGGGGAGAAACCCCACCTTTGCACAGAGTGTGCAAAATGTTTCTGACAGCTAAGAAAACTCAACATTGGCACATTCACAATAGTGGGAAACCACATTTGTGTTCTCAGTGTGGAAAGAATTTTAATCAGTTAGGGCACTTAACGAGTGTCACACGAGTGAGAAACCCTATTTTTCCCCTGAATGTGGGAAGAGCTTTATGCAATTGGGGTGTTTAACAGAGCACCAGAAAGTTCACATGGGAGAAAAGCCGTTTTCTTGCACTGAATGCTGGACGAAATTCAGTCACTTTGGAAATTTAAAAGAACATTTGTGCATTCATACAGGTGAGAAACCATACTGTTGTACTGAATGTGAGAAGTGTTTTAGTCATTTAGGAAACAATGAATTCACACTGGGGAGAGACCGTATGCTTGCAATGTTTGCGGTAAGAGTTCCAGCCATTCACTCAGGGGAGAAACCTCACCTTTGTACTGAGTGTGGAAAATGTTCCCAACAGTCAGGAGAAGTGAAAGAGCATCAGCGTGATCACACGGGAGAGAGACCACACTCATGCTATGGAGATAGTGCTTCCGTCGGATAGGACATCAGCGAACTCACAAGGGGCAAAGACGTAAATGAAGATCTTCATTCATCGATTTATGAAAGTTATTTTACTATAATTTGGATCAAATTACCTAAAAGGATTAGTCTCACTGGTTGTTCAAGCACATTGTATTGATTACCTGGTGAAAAAACGTATCCATTCTAAACCAGTGGTCGGCAAGAGATCGCATTCTCAGTCACCTGCCCCACTTTCAGGCCGTCCGTGGCACCCCTCTGCACCCCCATGCGGAAAAATATATCAAGCGGGAGCCCCCCCGAATCAGCAAAATATACCACAGCGATTCGGTGGCTCCCCCCATTATTTTCTTTGTAAAAATAGCTCTCACTGCAAAAAAAGGTTAGAAACCCCTTTTCTAAACCATGTATCCTAACAGCCGAACAGAGAAGTCAGGACGATTCCAAGGGCCAGTAAAAATCCAGACCAAGATTTTGTTTCAACCAACCAGTTGAGTCCTCTGTGACTCTTTATACTCGTCTTGGTCTGGATTTGTACTCTCTGGACCTGGAATCTCCACCTCTGCCAGTGTCTCTAGCCACGGCCCTGGCTGTCTGTGCACGGCATCCTGCAGTGTTCAGATTGAGGGCAGCCCACAGTTTTAATGCGATAAAATCATTGTAGGTTTGCCTGTGTAGAGAAAAGACTGTTGTAACCATGTGTATACACTTTGGTATATGTAAATTAAGTTTAGAAATATGTTTAGTGGTAACTGCTAAAATTAATTTACATAACGTAAGTATACATTTTTAAAAAAGCAAAAGTGCGTTTTGAAGATGAGCTGTATAAATGAAGGTGTTCATGAAAGGTGTGTGCGTGTGTGTGTGTGTGTGTGTGTGTGAGAGAGAGAGATGTGCGTGTGTGTGTGTGTATTGTATATATAGAAACCAGTACAAACCAACTATATTATGTTTCTGTTGGCAGCTATTGTGTGTCAGTCATTTTTTTCAATAGAGCAGCGAGGAAGGTCTTACACTGCAGTTTTTTTCAGAGTTTCTATTTATTTATATTTCATCTTATACCCCATAAATAAGCCTGTCAAGCAAGTGAAATTCAAGCACTGTTAAGTCTTGTAATCAGTCTTTACTGGCCCATCAGTGCCCCCTAGAGGGGGAGGGGCTCCTTGGTGCTCCTGCTCAGAGCAGATCCCTCCTGCCTGCTCACCACTCTGACCAATCCCACTCGGCACAGTTTGGCCCCGCCCACTCCTTCAAGGGTGTGCACTCTTTCTGGGATGGGGGTGTGTTGCATATAAGAACATAAGAACATAAGAACTATACAAACGAGAGGAGGCCATTCGGCCCATCGAGCTCGCTTGGGGAGAACTTAACTAATAGCTCAGAGTTGTTAA